AAAGAGAAAGAGAGTTTTACCACTGATAAATCTCTTTATGATTGTTAGTATATTTAAAAGTCAAGATCAAATTCAATATAAAATATAGTGTCACAATACCCGTTCATATTTCTGCGCGGCCGAGCGGAAACAAATTTACAATTAAAATCCACTTGCATGTAATCATGGTACTGTACGTACTCACAGTGTCAAAGAGTATGTTATGGTGAGTGTAGATTGGAAACCTTTTTTACTGGATACTAAGCATTCCATATTACTCCTCAGAGGTGATAACGCATCTGCATTTTGATTATTAATCGAGGATAGAGGAGGCTACGAGCCATAGTAGTACTCTGTGTGCTGATTTGTAACCTTATGCTATATAAAAAAAAAAAAAAAAACTAACACCAACATCTACTTCACGAAATCACAGTGTTCTCTATTCTAGAAAGTTCTTTGTTCTACTTTTCGATACATTTTCTAATCTCACTTTACTTACCGTATTAATTTCTTTTTAAACTTATAATACCATGAAATTACCGTTCAATTTAATTTATCAGTTAATGTAATTAAGTAAGAGCGTTCAAAAATTTCGTTTACGCCATTGTTAGAATTTCCCACTAACTCGACGGCGAATGGGATAAGTTGATTAAAAATGGTAGAGCCACGCTGCCGCTATATTATAGTTGTTGCACGAATGGGTCGGTTCGACCGGGCTAGAACCGCGCTCTCACAGAATACCAGAGTAAAATAACAGATTGACGCTGCTGTGTTTTCGTATGGCAAATGTCGAAAACCGGACCCATTCCTCAGGGATAACAACGCATCTGCATTTGTAATTTAATCGAGGATAAATGTCTATTGGCTTCGGCATCCCCTCACCATCAGATGGACTGTGTGCTCGTTTGTCATCAAGCCTAACATGGCAAGGACTGTTATATTATTGTATTTTTATGGCTTAAAGGACAAGTATCCAAGCCAAAAATGTTTTTTAAAAAAAAGTATATTTTTTTAAATATGAAGTGAAAAGTAGCTAATGTACAGTCCACCGGTTAATGTCTACCCTAGTCCGTGAACACATGAAACCAACTTCTAACAATGATGGCTATGGATGGCTATGGATGCGTTGTCAGGATGGAATGTCTTACAGCCTCTAATTATACTGTCTTTCTATACCCTTCAGACTGGAACGCAGCTGTGCAATTTGCTCTATTCTAAAACAACTAGAACAGACAACAAATATTAAACAATTAACATTTTATTCTTTATTTTCTGTACTCTTAAAAATAAAAACCGTCAGTGTTCCCATAAAGATACGTCAAACGGATATAAAGTGAAATACCTTACATATAAGGAGCGAGATTTTTTTATCGTAATGAATTGCGCATCCCACTATTTCTTTGACTGATTGATTGACGGATGCCCGCTGAAGTGTAAAGTATAAATTTGTAAAGGTATGTCCTCAGTAACAAGCGGCAGCGGCTTGAGATATTTATTGTTAGTAAGTACTTTTAGACTTTTATCGCACTAGCCTAGTGTCTACTGTCGTTTATTACTAGATAGATGTTTTCGTATTTAAAATATGAACAAATACATTACAGAAATTATAACATTTTTTTTAACTTACAACAACGCAAAAGATACGAGATAAAAAAACAAAGTAATCTAAAAAAGAATCTAAATTTAAATAATAACTTTACTGTGATAAGCAAACATTTAAGTATACTCACATTAAATTTTACGTTTCATGCAATTCAAAAGATTCGAGGAATTCATAAATCTACATATATAAATAATTTGTTATTTAATTTTAAATTGACGTAACTGATTACTACGTGCAATATTTCTGACCCCTATTTACAGTACATAGTAAATAGGGGTCAGAAATAATACAAAAATAGTGTTATGTACTATTTGCAAAATATTACATAACACTATTTTGCAAAAAAAACTTAATCAAAGAACCAATCGCTGTCTCCACGACACGAGAAAATCCTAGAGTGGGTACAGTTGTTTTTAATTTATAAAAAAAAGTGAGAATAAGATCTATTCCTAAACAATAGTACATTTTTAAACGATATCCGTTTCACATAATTGAATCCATGAATGCTAGAACCAAACGTATAGTCACTGTAATACGAAACCATTGAATTTATTTAACATTTTGTCCACCTATGGTAAGCCTATGGACACCTGCATGCAACTGAGGTCTTAGATGGAACGTTTCACAGCTTGCCATTATAATGACTCTTAAGAGCGTAGACGGGCTGCATTTTTTCCATACAAATGTATTCCCCTATTCTCTACCTGGATAATGCCTCTAGAGTAATCGTTTTTGTTTATAAAAATCTAGGTCTATTGAAGGCATGCCCCTGTCATTCATTTTTTTCCAATAAATTATTACAAAAATAAATATGACTTTCCAAACACCTAAAAAAATGCCGCGTTTTTACCTCCGTAATCAGACGACTACCAAAGAAATTTGAAAAGTTTTTAAAATAAAAACAAGTAATAGGAGCATAGATCTATTCTTCCTTTAAATTTTGATACCAAAAATAATTTAATCGGCTTAGTTTTCGAGGAGGAAACAAGGGAATACGAAACATCGATCTGTCATAGTTTTTGTAGGTAAAATCGTTCTGATCTGCAGTTGTCCCTATCGTACTTTATGGAGGGAGACCATATATAGCGCGACGGCAATAGTTTATTTAAATACCTATTTCTCAATTCCCGCGCAGACCGACTACGCTCTTAATCCGGAACATAAAAAAATGCGTGAGTGTCGTGGAGCACTCGTTTGGAACGAAGCTCCTTGTGTAGTATATTATTATTGATAAACGTAGGTATTATATTATTGATTAACAAATACAAATAAATGAATTACTAGCGTCTATTAAAATGAAGAGTCATTTGAAATAAAATAATATTTCTTTCATGGCAAGATAAGAAAAAGTGCGAGGGATATGGATATTATTCCATCTCACTTCCTAATTCGCCGCCAAGGCCATCTACACTATGACACAAGACACATTTTCTCGCCTAGCTCACATGCGTACCTTCCGATAAAGAACTTCGTTCCAATAGTGTAATCAGTGATATTTGGTGGCAGAAATAGACAAGAAGGTGATACCTACCCAGACGGATTCCCAGGCAGCGAAAGAGTCCTACCACCTATTGAAAACCGAAGCCTTACTTCCATATCATTTGAGATAGTTTCATCAAACAATAATTATTTAAATATAAACGCAATATTTGTAAATGGAGTTTACTGGAGGTTCTCTTAATACGTGGATAGATGTAGATGTCTATGGGTCACAGCAACCACTTACCATCAGGTGGACTGTGTGCTCGTTTGTTACCCTATCCTATAAAAAAAAATCGCACTTCTTTCTTTTGGAGGATGGCTACAGTATGAATCCCTAAAAAGAAATTATTAAACTAAAAGATTTGCACCAAACTAGTACCTTCTCTCTAAACATTTTATTTGCGTTGGACCCCGCCTGAAAGACGTGTCGAATATAGGCCAACCTTTTAACCAAAATAAAATTAACATGGTAGAGCCACGCTGCATTTAAGTTATGGTTGCAGCAAGAATGGGTTGGCTTGGCCGGTGAAAGACCGCGCTCGCATTTAATGCCAGCATTAAATAGCAACATAATGCTGCTGCGTTTCTTATGATGAGTGTAGAGCATAGAGTAGATTCTTCTTCTTAATAACTGGCTTTACGGCTCTGGGATCTAGCCCTTCTGAGCCTGAAATTACAATATATTATAATAATTATCCTTCATAGTATACTGCTTCACAATATGTTGATGCGTCACATTGTGCAGCCCTTGGGAGATTTTGACGGCAACTTGAGCTAGCAGACAGCTGACGATTGGCGATGGTATCTCAAGGCGCCTAACCAGACAGACACCTTATTTTGAGAATCATATCATCATCAGAGCACTTGTTTCACAGTTTCCACTAATAGTTCACATGCGCAGACACTTAATATACAAAATCGCACCACTTTTACATATCAAAGTCCACTTCAAACCATTATTTAAACAATAATACAGGTGCAGCAAACCGCCGCCGGCAAGTTCCCGCCAAAACTCGCATAGAGTAGAATAAGTGTAGAGAACACAGACTTTTTTACTAATAACGAGATATTCTATTTTAGCCCTCAGGGGTAAAAATGCATTCTACATTTTGATTCTTAATCGAGGATAGTCAGGTGGACTGTGTACTTTTTTCTCACCCTTTTTCTATAAAAAAGGTAAATGCAATACATATTCACATTTCTGTTTCTAATGTAGCTTTAAAATTACCTTTAAATTATTTTCCGCTCTTCGCTTACTATTTGTACTACAACCTATGTACCTACACCGATGCCGACGTCGAGCCCAAGCTATATACTTACTTACTTCCTAAGTTGGTAGTAAAGTTGTCATTTACCAATATAATCATTAGGACAAGAAACTAGAAATTAATTTGCGATACTAAATCCATCATGAATAAACGTTTACCTTCTTCTTCTTTAACGCCTGTTTAGTACACGGCTTGACATGGACCTTTCCCATTGTAGGATTGCTAAACGTCTTTAATAGAGCAATGCTGCAGCTATATTATGCTTGAAGCACAAAAAGGTCAGCTCGACCAGAAAAGGACCACGATCTCACATAATACCACCATAAAAGTGTTTCGTAAAGTGAGTGTAGATACGAGGCATTCCATTTCAGTCCTCATGGGTGACAATGCATCTGTACTTTGATTCTTAATCGAAGATAAATGTAGATGCTTATGTGCCACAGTATCCACTTACAATCAAGTGGGCTGTGTGCCCGTTTATCATCTCGATTCAATAAAAACAAACGTGTCACACCTTTGATATTTCTTCATGTCGCCGATTTTGAGTAGGGCACCGACCGACTTCGGAAAATGCAAATATATTATTCCTTATAATATTTTAAAGTCTGTTTTTATTTTTATAAAGTTTATATTTCCTTATTAAGAAAATGTTTGTATTTCCTTTGCAGCAAAGAATGCGTGATGCCGATGATACCACTTGGACTGAAAGAGACGAAAGAAATCGACTTCAGGGAACCGTTCAAGGACTTCATCCTGGAGCATTACAGCGAGGACGCGGCGGCATATGAGGACGCCATCTCTGATTTCATGGACTTGAGACAGGTAGGCTTTTTTATAACTTCAAGTTATTAAGTATCTAAAAGAGAGTTTAATCGACGGATCCAACTCGAATGGGCAACCTTCGGGAGATTACGACACATCTCGTCACGTATACCTCAAAACTTGAACACAAGGTTATACATACCTACATCCAGTGCGTGTACCAGTGAAATCATATGGATCTGCGACTTGTGCTTTGTGCTTCACTGCAGGCCGTATGAGGAAGCCCAAGGTCTCTCAACGAGCTATTGAGGTGGCTATCCTCGGTGTTTCTCTACGTGATACATTTCGTAATAACGATATCCGCAGTAGAACCAGAGCAACTGACATAGCGCATCGAATCAGTAAGCTAACGTTTCAATGGGCTGGCCATATAGCTCAAATAACCGACAACCGATTGGAACGAACTGGTGAGGAAAGGTTTTCGAGTGACGGGATCATACTTGTTAGTGAAGTGAATGGCGGCCCCCCACTAGATGGAGTGACAACCTGATAAGAGATGCAGGAAATCGATGAACGCAAGTGGCTCAGGACAGTGCTTTGTAGCATTCTTTGTTCAGTAGTGGACTTGTTATGGGCTGTAACGATGATGATGATGGTGATGTTGTGGTTTCAAAAAAGTTACACTGGTATTTTCCATAGTGTAACCAGACTAGACGACGAGAGAGCCGGCTTATTTATGCTGCAGCTTTAAGCTGCGACGTGGCGATACCATGTATATGTAACACGATGGTTGATGCTTTTGAAAACCGTGAGATTTTCCTGGTCTTTCTCACATTTGATCCACAAATGAGATGAGAGCTATAGATTATTTTACACCGCCATTAACGCAGGAAGGAGAAGGAAAAGGGGAAATCTCCTGCCAGGTAAGGTTTTCAGCCCAGGGAGCCACCAAATCTCCGCGTTATACCACGTACGGAGATTATTCTATATCTATAGAGTCGTCCAAAAACTTCGATAGCGTGATTTAGACTTCAGCATAATTCAAGTCCGAGAGTTTACGCTTTTTTTGCTGCAACGACGACATATTTACTAAGTTATTATTATTATTCCAGGCAATAAGAACACCAGTCCGGTCGACCGTAGGCGTGGCCCTTCTGTTTAAGTACTACAACCAGCTTTACTTCATCGAGCGCCGTTTTTTCCCGCCCGATCGGTCGCTGGGCGTCTATTTCGAGTGGTTCGATTCTTTAACAGGTGCGTAAAAAAGTCGACGTAATGTGTGAACGAGATAGAAGTCATCCTTTTTCGTTCTGTGGGCTTCATATAGAGATACTATATGTCAGGATTTGTCTTGATATGTCTGGCTTTTGAGTTCTTCTCAGGAATACGGTCAGATTTTTAAATGTCAAGCTTTTTTTCTTTGGCAATAAAATACAATGGGTCTTTTTTTGCGTAGGAGGGTTGGAATCTGCGACTTGAATTGATCGTGACAGTGCACATAACCAATAGTTGTTGTTTTTTTTTTCACTCTTGTTTATTACGTTTGGGGCTTTCTGTGGTCATAAGATTATATGTCAGGACTTTTCATTTTTCCATCTGGTAACTCTAGCTTCATATGTTTTTTATTACAAAAGTAAGGGTGACAATAAGACTTCTATTAAAATCCACGCTTTTCTGTGTTGTTCCTGCAAACTTCACGTAACTATAAATTTTCAGGGGTGCCATCCTGTCAACGAACGGTGGCTTTCGAGAAAGCCTGCGTGCTGTTCAATATGGCCGGCATCTACACACAAATTGGCGCCAAACAGGTAACTGCAGCATGCCTAATCATTAGTTCTGCGTATCTGTTATAACCTATACAATAACTTTTGATTATTGTGAAACAATTTCGATCTCGGTCATGAAAGCCAGGAAGTTGTTTGCTTAATACATATGAATTCTAATAAGAAATAAGCATTTTACACCCTAAGTTCTGAAGCATAAGACATTTTTTAGTCTGCCCAACAGTGTTAAACAGTTTTTAGTAGAAACTGCTCTCGTTTATATTATCTATAATAATAGTAGTATTTTTTTAAATTATGACTATTACTTCCAGAGATTTACAACTCTAGTATGTTGATTAAAAAAGCTATATAGTTTATTATATTGAGCATTGTTATGCAAATACAAATTACGTATAATTTAATAGAAATTTAAAGAAATAATTTTTAACCTTTTTTATAACTTTTCAGCTAGCAGATTTTATTCGCACTAGTATTGTGAGCATAGTGTTTGAGAACATAAGAATTCTGCGAAGGTCATTTGCCATAGCATTCTGTGCTCTATTTGCAGGAGCGTAAGACGTGCGCGGGGCTGGACGGCGCGGTGGACGCGCTGCTGCGGGCGGCGGGTACGCTGCGCTACATCCACGAGAACTTCACCAACGCGCCCTCTGTCGACCTGGCTGCCGACACCTTGCTCGTTCTCGGACTCCTCATGACGGTCAGTTTCCTTACAAATTAAATTAAGATTTACAGCCTATACAATAAGTAAAGAGAGTCAAGGTCGATCCGAAATGGACACGTTGCAGCTATATTATGGTTGTAGAACGAATGAGCACGACAAGGCTAGGACCAAGTTCTTATAGATAGCATAAAATAGCAGCACAATGTTGTTGTGTTTCGTATGGTGAGTGTAGAGAACCGAAGACCATTTTACTGGAAACGAGGTATTTCATCTTAGACATCAGGTGTGAAACGAATCTGCATTTTAATTCTTAATGGAGGATATTTATTTATGGGCCACAATATCCTTTTACCATCAGGTGAACTGTGTGCTCGTTTGTTACCCTTATTCTGTAATAAAAAAGATACGGTAATAACTATACAAAAAAATTAAAGCATCACATTATAATTTTTATAAATAATATAAAAAAGTTATTGTTTTTAAAATACATGTTTTTATTACAATATGCTTAAAATTCAGCAAACTTTTTTTTAATAGGATATGGTGACAAATGAGCACACAGTGCACCTGATGGTAAGTGGTTACTGTGACCCATAGACACCACCTCTATCCTCAATAAAGACTCAAGACGCAGATGCGTTATCACCCGTAAGGACTAAGATGGAATGCCTCATTGCCAGTAAAAGGGGTCTCCGGTTCTCTACACTTACCATACGAAACACAGTAGCGTTAAGCTGGTATTTTACGCTGGTTTTCTGTGAGAGCGTGGTCCTTCCCCGGTCGAACCGACTCATTCGTGCTACAACTATACTACTAATATAGCTGCAGCATGGCTCTACCACGTAAACTTTTACAATCTGGCAACACCGTCGCGACCGCCCACGCCGCATGTATTGCCATGTAAATGTAAGTATCCCCATTTAATGAAATTGTAGTATGTTTTTCGTGGATATTTTTTATTTATTCTACGAAAAAGATTACGTAAACGGAATCATGTCACGATACCTAAAAGCATCATCTGGCATCGGACAGTGTTATACATTTTTATATTTATTGTATATGTCTCACTGCTGGACACCAGCTTCCTATCTTCCTACCGGTAGGATTATGGAGCAAGGGATGGAGTAATATACATCTACATCTGTTTGTGATTGAGAAACTTAATACAGAGTTAAGTCAGAGTTACCCCTGAGGACTAAGAGGGATTGCCTTGTTACCAGTAAAAAGGAACGCCGATACCCATCCTAAACACAGCAACATTGTGCAACTATTTCACGCTGGTATTCTGTGCGAGCGTAGTCCTTCTCCAGTCAAACCGACCTATTCATATCATTATCATCATCATCATCATTACAGCCCTTCACAAGTCCACAGCAGAATATTGGCTTCCCCCAAGGAATGCCACAAAGCAGCCACCTGCATCCATCGACTTTACGTATGTCTTACCAGGTCGTCACTCCATCTAGTGGAGGGTCGCTCTACCCTTCGCCTACCGGTACGAGGTTGCCACTCGAAAACCCTTCTTCCCCATCGGGCCAAGACCAGTTCCACTTCCTGTGGTGCCGCTTCTGGAAGAAAGAGTTCATCATAAAGAGTCCCTCTTTCTCCATGAAGTCGGCCAGCTACTGGCCCCTTGGGTTCCGTTACCCTATTCCAAATTTCCCTACCTTCAGCTCACCATTCTCTCTTGTGCTTAGTTTTGCATGGAAATCTCCCATTAACACCGTATGGGTTTTGGATGAATGCATGGCTTTAGAGATATCCACACACATTTCCTCCACCTCGTTTCTCATGGGGATGTGCCGAGGTTGGTTTGTAAACCTGTATGACCTTTAACCAACACCGTTTGGTGATTCTGAATACAAGGTACGCAACCTTCAATCTTTACAACGTTGTTAACGAGAGACTTGTGGACGATAAATCCGACTCCTCATTAGGACAGATAGTCGCCCTCCCGGTGATAGAACAAGTTACTGGATTCGAGGATTACAGTGTCCTCACCCTCTCTTCGGACCTCGGATAATCCTATGATATTCCATCGCAATTTGTTTATCTCTTCTTCCAGCTCCAGGATCTTCTCGTTAGTCCTCAGGGTGCATGCGTTTTATGTTGCCAGGTCGAGTCGTCTTAGGTGACAACTGAACCTCCACCGGAGATTCTTAGCACCACCTGCCCTGCCGTTACCATGGTCGCTACCGTAGCCAGGAATAGAGGAACCACCGAGGACTGAGGAGCCATCTCTTCATAACTTTCATCATAGGGGGATATTTGCAATAGTTGTCACGCTTGGCGAGTGGGTTGGCAACCGCAGTTTTTTTATTGTAATATTGCTGCTATCAGGAAGATGCTGCTGTCTATCTCCTGCCTATTTCCCACTGTCGCCTCTTACGACACCTAGGGGAAGATATGGGGTAGTGGATATTCTTAATCGTCACTACACGGTTCCTACATTTTGATTCGTCATCGAGGGTAGATGTAGATATCTATGGGCCACAGCAACCACTTACCATCAGGTGGTCTGTGTGCTAGTTTGTCAACCTTATCCTATAAAAAAAAGAAGTAGAACAGGTTTAAAGTGCATGAGTGTACTCTCTATTCCCTTACTCTCATAGCCCGATGTTATAGCAATCCGACACGATCGGAGAGAGATCATGCACAGGACCAACGGCTTTACGTGGTTTTCGAAGCACAGAGCGAAACTCCGCGAATTTTCTAACTTCGGGATACTAAAAATTTCTTGACAGAACAATCCAATAACTGATTTTGGCCTGAGATTCGCACCCGAGACCACATGATCAGCAGCTGCATTTACGACCACTGTACCTAGGTGACAGCTGAGAGCTATGCTGTATCACGTCCGGATTGATGAATTCTCTTACGGCCGATCTCTCGTTAAACTGCTTGCTGTGCAGCTTGATGTTAAATTAAAAAGCGATGTGTGTTCTAGGCGCAAGCTCGCGAGTGCCTGTTCGAGAAGCTGCAGCTGCAGGCTCGGGAGGCGTGCGGGGGGCGGGAGCAGGCGCTGCACGCCGACCTGGACATGTGCCTCGACCTCGCGCAGGAGAGCGCGCAGCTCGCGCACGTGTACACGCAGCTCTACGAGAAGGTACGTACCACTGCACTGTACACGCAGCTCTACGAGAAGGTACGTACCACTGCACTGTACACGCAGCTCTACGAGAAGGTACGTACCACTGCACTGTACACGCAGCTCTACGAGAAGGTACGTACCACTGCACTGTACACGCAGCTCTACGAGAAGGTACGTACCACTGCACTGTACACGCAGCTCTACGAGAAGGTACGTACCACTGCACTGTACACGCAGCTCTACGAGAAGGTACGTACCACTGCACTGTACACGCAGCTCTACGAGAAGGTACGTACCACTGCACTGTACACGCAGCTCTACGAGAAGGTACGTACCACTGCACTGTACACGCAGCTCTACGAGAAGGTACGTACCACTGCACTGTACACGCAGCTCTACGAGAAGGTACGTACCACTGCACTGTACACGCAGCTCTACGAGAAGGTACGTACCACTGCACTGTACACGCAGCTCTACGAGAAGGTACGTACCACTGCACTGTACACGCAGCTCTACGAGAAGGTACGTACCACTGCACTGTACACGCAGCTCTACGAGAAGGTACGTACCACTGCACTGTACACGCAGCTCTACGAGAAGGTACGTACCACTGCACTGTACACGCAGCTCTACGAGAAGGTACGTACCACTGCACTGTACACGCAGCTCTACGAGAAGGTACGTACCACTGCACTGTACACGCAGCTCTACGAGAAGGTACGTACCACTGCACTGTACACGCAGCTCTACGAGAAGGTACGTACCACTGCACTGTACACGCAGCTCTACGAGAAGGTACGTACCACTGCACTGTACACGCAGCTCTACGAGAAGGTACGTACCACTGCACTGTACACGCAGCTCTACGAGAAGGTACGTACCACTGCACTGTACACGCAGCTCTACGAGAAGGTACGTACCACTGCACTGTACACGCAGCTCTACGAGAAGGTACGTACCACTGCACTGTACACGCAGCTCTACGAGAAGGTACGTACCACTGCACTGTACACGCAGCTCTACGAGAAGGTACGTACCACTGCACTGTACACGCAGCTCTACGAGAAGGTACGTACCACTGCACTGTACACGCAGCTCTACGAGAAGGTACGTACCACTGCACTGTACACGCAGCTCTACGAGAAGGTACGTACCACTGCACTGTACACGCAGCTCTACGAGAAGGTACGTACCACTGCACTGTACACGCAGCTCTACGAGAAGGTACGTACCACTGCACTGTACACGCAGCTCTACGAGAAGGTACGTACCACTGCACTGTACACGCAGCTCTACGAGAAGGTACGTACCACTGCACTGTACACGCAGCTCTACGAGAAGGTACGTACCACTGCACTGTACACGCAGCTCTACGAGAAGGTACGTACCACTGCACTGTACACGCAGCTCTACGAGAAGGTACGTACCACTGCACTGTACACGCAGCTCTACGAGAAGGTACGTACCACTGCACTGTACACGCAGCTCTACGAGAAGGTACGTACCACTGCACTGTACACGCAGCTCTACGAGAAGGTACGTACCACTGCACTGTACACGCAGCTCTACGAGAAGGTACGTACCACTGCACTGTACACGCAGCTCTACGAGAAGGTACGTACCACCGCACTGTACACGCAGCTCTACGAGAAGGTACGTACCACCGCACTGTACACGCAGCTCTACGAGAAGGTACGTACCACCGCACTGTACACGCAGCGCTACGAGAAGGTACGTACCACCGCACTGTACACGCAGCGCTACGAGAAGGTACGTACCACCGCACTGTACACGCAGCGCTACGAGAAGGTACGTACCACCGCACTCTACACGCAGCGCTACGAGAAGGTACGTACCACCGCACTGTACACGCAGCTCTACGAGAAGGTACGTACCACCGCACTGTACACGCAGCTCTACGAGAATGTACCTGCTTGAGGAGGCTGAAACGCTATTGCTACTACACGTGCGTGTCTACCACTGTAAAATTTTTATTTATTTATTTATTATACAGATAATCCAAAGTTAGGAGGGATATTTGATTTTCTATTATTTTGAGTTCTTAGCAGTAAGATACTGCTACCTATCTCCTCTTTAATTTTTCTCTCTCCCTGTTACAAAACAGACACGATGAAATTGATAAGGGGCAGTGGATTATCTTACGCCCCAACTACGCGATGATTTTATTCTCTCTATTCTAAGATATTAAATTATTACAGTGATTACTCGTGTTGGTTATGAACACTCGCAATATGTTTCACCATATTCCGGAAGTTACCGGAGTTTACCGCTGGTAAACTAACAAAATTTATCACATTTCAGATGCAGACCGAAGGTGTTTTTAATTACGTGCCATACTCGTGGGTTTCATTGGTCCACGTCAAGACTGAATTTTACAAAGGTAATTAAGAAAAAGACTATCACTTCGTCTTTTTTGAAGCATCTATGACGTTTCGTTTACTGGTCAAGGTATTTTGTATACAGAGTCATTTTGCAATAACCGGCTAAATTTGCAGAGAAGGTTCAGAATAAGTAATTTAGATAACTCAAGATAACTGGTGAAATAAAATTAATTAAAAAAAATCTCACACATTCTGTCCTTTTTATCGTTTAAATTCAAAATGCGTGGTAATGCATTATTTTTACTTATTTTACTGCACACGCACACATTCGTTACGTTCGATCGATAGGCAAAAACGTTGTTGCCCATAAATTACATTAAGTTTGGAATAATTTCAAATTCAAAGATAAGTGGAAATGCATTATTTTAATTGCTTGTCATTCATAAATATGAAGCACCTATTTTATACGCACGCACACATTCGTAATGGAGTGTTGAGTTCCGAAGCAGCTTACAGTGGCATTCGGCGTTCGCGTTCGGTTACAGATTTAGGTATTTAATAGTTCTTTTGACTCGGGAAAAACAAACTCGTCTCCCCGGCTCCCCGTCCTCTCCCTTCCAATACACCGCTAGGTACGTTCACCTGGCCGCCCGATACCCGACAGTGTTGACTTGACTGTGACCTATTTTTAAATTTTCGTAGGTAGTATTACTTGTCACAACCAGTACTACGTCTGTAAACTACTGAATTCTCCTGGATATCACCCATTTCATTACTGTTACGGCCTACGGCTGCTCCCTTAAAGGGTCAAATCCTCAGGGGCCCATGAGCTGAAGACTTCCCGAGCAGACGTAGGTCGGGCCTCAATGTGGCCACGTAGAATCTCTCTGATTACACTAAAATATATGGGGGAGCGTTCTATACTACGGCCAGTGGACCGGGAGGAATTTGGACGTAGCTTACTTACCTATATCCAAGGCGACTGGTCCCTCCGGAGTCGGTCAGGTCGCATGTGGTTGTGTAGTGCAAGGAAAATAAAGTGATGTGATGTGTATCTGGATGTGACTGATGGTGATTGAACCTAGACCTTGGCCATCGGCAGCAGCCCGAGTGTCGACACCGTTCCAACTTGAGGGAGCCTTCCGAGGTTGTCCACAGTCACTTTCCTCTTTCGTCACGATGACGGTCAATTAACTCTATCGTACGATTAACTAAATTACAGAAGCCACTAACTATCGCTGGGTATAAGGTTAACGCACAAAACGCACACGGAGTTTCTGGATCAAAGGTCACTACCGTTACGCGTAGCAACAGTTAGTTCTAGAATATCAGAGGCCGCACTAGCTAATATTGCCGAATGCACTTATGCAGATTCTGATTCAGACACAATGAGTCCCCGGGAAGCTCTCCAGCAGGAATGCGCGTCACAATGGTAGACCGTATATTTACTGGCCGCGCCGAATTATTCCGAGTTCCCGACAAAAATGACAGCGTGCCGTTCCAAGCACAGCTGACAGACGACTCATGACTGTTTCGCTCGCGACCCGCGCGCTCTTGCCACGCTCGGCCGAACTTCAAACCGGTATCGCGCCGAGCCGAGTGACATCTGGCGTCGATTCTTGACAGTGTTTGGCGCGAACAATTACCAACGTGTCCAAACGCTGAATAATAACAATGGTCTACCTCGAAAGCATTTTTGTGAATGGTTGTTGTCAAAAACATTATGTGGACTGACGAAGCCCTATTTACGTGTGTAGGGCTATATAATAGTCACAACGAACATTAGTGGGCAGTATTTGCATACTCTATATAAAAGATAGTTATCATCAAGTGCGATATAGTGTAAATGTTTGGGCCGGAATTATTGATAATGTTGCGCGCAACTATTAATCTCTTGTACATAGCAACAATAGCTACCACTAGCGCCCTCTAGTAACGAGTAGCAGAACTAGGAGAGTCAAGATCCTTCTAGAAATGTCGGGACCGATATGTATTCGAACATACTAGATGTTTCTACAGTAGAAGGTTCTGGAAATTATCTGAGGCCCTATATAAGGCCGGTATAGACCACGACCGAGGCATTTGGCGATACAATTGAATTGGCGATACAAGAGAATATTTCTATAGGAAATAACTGCGAACTAAATTGATCAGTAGTACAATTGTGTTTTATTATTAGTGTGGTTTTAGATTGTGATTAGTGTTCTGTAATTAAAGTGTCAATTTTGGTAATTCAATCGGCAGTTTTTAATTGTCTCGAACCCCAAGCTCGTGACAATAACATAATTGTGGGCCCGTACTTCATTGAAAGACGATAAATGGGTGGTAATTATTTGGACATGTTACAAGGTGTTATTCAAGATTTTCTGGACGATATACACCTAATGTTACTGAATAATTTTTATTTCCAACATATCGGTGCTCCGCCTCCCTATTCAAGTGCAGTGCGTGATTATTTCAATAGTGAATACGAAGATAGGTGGATTGGACGTGGCGGCCCTATACCATGACCTGCAAGGTCACCGGACCTTACACCACTAGACTTTTATTTATGGGATGAAATAGGGACAAGTTTACATCGAAGAGGCCCAAAGCTATGACGACCTCCGCAGCAATATAATTGCTGCATTCACGGAAGTGAAAAGTGCTCAGACACATGTAATTAATGTGAAAAATGATTTAAGGAAACGTGATCAACAGTGCATTGTGAGAGATGGACTCCATTTTGTACATGTATTAAAATACCCTTAAGTCATTTTTATTTTAAGTGATTGCATATTTAAGATGTAAATAGTTAATCGTTTTAAATTGTTAATAGTTGTTAATACTTGACTCCAATTCTTAAATACGCCATAATAAAGATAGTCATCGGTTACATCTGTAATACAACAACGTACAATTTCTGTGAGTTTTGAATTATTAAATATGTACCTATATTGAACAGCGTGCGCGTCGATGCGATGTTCGTGTCGGTTGAGATCGGAAACGCTCGGCACACTGCCTTTGTAGCCGTTCGGGTGCGTTCGTTTTTACGCTACGCTCGCGCCGCCTATGTAAACATTATTTAAATCATATAACCTATCATTAGCCTTCCAGCTAACTATTCTACAACTAATTGCTTACATTTATTCTTCACCTCTTTTTCTATCTCTGTAGTCTAAACTTGTATTTTGAACTGTCTTTTGTGTTGGAGTAAAAATATTATTTAATTCGACGTATGCAGAACTTTTTATTTGCACAGTACCTATTTATGTCGTCGATGAAATGTATTTTTATTTTATTTTATTTTATTACAACAGTTATCAGTTATCAACTAAGTTACGAGCTTGTCATTAAGGAAGTAAATAGTAGGTAAAAGCTCCGTTCATTGACTCGTACACACACAAGTGCGCGTTGTTGTTGCCCATAAATCACATTCAATTTCGGATATTTTGAAATAATTACACACAGTTACATACCCTTATTTACGCGTACTTTTCAAAACTGCAAAAAGTGTGTAACAGTATTTTTATTTTGAACTTAATTATTAAATTTGGCTGGTCTTTGAAAAATAACCCTGTATATGTCAGTGCCCCTCCAACACTCTGTTAACTTTAGTTTAACGAGCACCTATGCGCTCGACTGTGTGCACGTATGCTGAATAAGTTAAAAAGTGTGATTGAATATTCGCTTGCTAAGCGTAGCTGTTTAAAACAAGGCAAATATGAAATAAAGTTACACAATTATCTGAAATAAACTTCAAATAACAAAGTGCGTGTGTACATAAATAATAATAGCGTTTCCTTAGTTACATTAAACAAATTTAGTGTTAGATTGTCGAAAACACCGTTCGTGGTTTATATGATAAAGAACTAGTCATCTTGTCTGTCGACTAAAGGCGTTACGGAGAATTGAGCGTAACTTAGTGTGTAATGTATTAACGTTACATCACACGTTTCATAAATATATAGAAGACAATAAATAGAAGTTTTTTGTGATAAAATAACAAATTATATAATATAAAGTAAATAAGTGTGTTACTTGTGCAGCGCTGGCGCACCAGTACTGCGGCGCGGCGCTGCTGCAGAGCGCCGGCGGGCAGCGCGCGCGCGACCGCCTCGCCGCGCTGCACGCCCCGCCCGCCGCGCCCCCCGCGCACCCGCACGGTAGCCCGCACCCCTCCACACCACGCAACGACAACTGCCGCTCACACATATGCACCAACATGGCTCTCATAAACACAACAGCTACATGGAAATAAGCAATTGCCAACATTTCTAAACGAAAACATACAACTATATAAAAATCCATAAACACAACAGCTACAGATACACCAACAACACACCCTCCATAAACACAACAGCTACAGGCACACCAACAACACGCCCTCCATAAACACAACAGTTACAAATACACTAACAATACGCCCTCCATAAACACAACAGCTACAAATACACTAACAACACGCCCTCCATAAACACAACAGCTACAGACACAGCAACAACACGCCCTACATAAACACAACAGCTACATATAAACCAACAACACGCCCTCAATAAACACCACAACTACAAATACACTAACAAGATGCCCTCCATAAACACAACAGCTACAGATACGCTAACAACACGCCCTCCATAAACATCACAGCTACAGATACACTAACAATACGCCCTCCATAAACACAACAGCTACAGATACACCTACAACACGCCTTCCATAAACACAACAGCTACAAATACACCAAAAACACGCCCTCCATAAACACAACAGCTACAGAGACATCAACAATACGTCCCTGATAAACACAACGGCTAAAGGGACACCAAAAACACGATCCTCATAAACCCAAAACACCTTTGAGTCCGAAACACAGACACGGTACAAATATAGAAACTTCTACTATACGGTCTTTTTAACATAAAATAAATGCAGTTACAACAACAATTTGTATCCAAGACACAGCTATACAAACACTTACAACGCAGCCCTAATACACGCAATGACGTTCCCTCAACAAACCTATCGTTCACATCTGTATAAGGGATTTTCAAAAACACATCAATTATCATGTGCTATTTGTAAGATCTTAAAACCCAGTTATGCTATTGTCTACACATTTAAAAGCTGTGTTGGATTCGCAGATTGTTGTGACTGGATACTGTTTAAGTGGGGAGACCAGTAGATGTTGTGACGACATGGTAAGACATGCAGGAAGTCGATGGATGCAGGTGGCTCAGGATCGTGTTTTGTAGCATATTTTGGGGCAGCCCTAGTTCAGCAGTGGACTTATGAAGGGCTGTCATGATGATACCATTGTCAACCAAGTGCTCTGCGAAGAAAGACACTTTCAATAAAATATGGCGAGCAGTTCTCTGCCCCATCCCCAAATCAGAATCAAGCAAGCTTGTGTTCTGCTGTGAGACGTTTTTAGAGAGTCACTTTACAAAAGTGTTACGTGCATCAGGATCGAATGGAACAGAGCAAGAGTTGGAGCCGTTGGCGCTAGGCAGAGCGCACCTCGCCGAAGCGCTCGCGCTGTATGAAGAAGCCCTCAGACTGCAGAGAATGTGCCGGTAATTTTTTTATAAACAACTTTTTTTACTATAGAATAAGGGTGACAAACGAGCATACAGTCCAACTGATGGCAAGTGGATGTTTTGGCCCATAGACATGTAAAACCGTCCTCGTTTAGAAATCAAAATTCAGAACGCGTTGTAAACCCATAAAACTATGAGGGATTGCCTTTATTCAGTGAAAAGGGTCTCCGGTTCTCTACGTAAGAAACAAAGCAGCATTAAACTGCAATTTTACGCTGGTGTTCTGTGAGAGCGTGGTCCTTCCCCAGTCGAGCTGACCCATTCGTGCTACAACTATACAATAATATAGTTGCAGCATGGCTCTATCACGTTAAAAGGTGTTTCTATGGCTTATTTTTTTATTTCGTTCCATGCGGGATTGGAAAGCGCATGTTCGTGTGCCATGACCCAATGCTAGCAACTGCGCTAGCAACTTGTTTACACTGAATTTCTTCTCTTAACATTCTAAAATTCCGTAAAACTTTCTTAAATACTTAAGCAGAATGAGAGGACCATACAAGAAGGTTTTGCGATCCTAAAAAGTTCTATGGGTAAATTTGTTATCAATAATTCTTTTCAAATATCTCTCTACCAGCAATTAAACAAAAGTTAATCATTTAAATCAATTTTCGAAATAAGTTTTCCATTTCGCTTTAGAAACTTCTTTAGCGCGTTGCTCAAACGCTGCTAGCGCAGCTTCTGGTGATGAAAAGTTTTCTTTTCATCTTATTTATTTTCTTTAAAAGAATAAAAAGAAATCACACGGTGCCAAAACAGGGCTGTAGGGACGATGATCCGAAAGCTTAGTCTTTTTGTTGTTCAGTAAGTCCTCTGTTTTGAGCGATGAGTACCTACGCGGGCACGTTGTCATGGTGATGCAGTAGCCCGCAGAGCCCCGTGTTCGGTCGCTTGTTGCTCACACCAGTGAACACTTTTGGCAAACTACATTTCGCCATTGGTGCTACTTTGAAATTGGACATTCATAACTTGACCGCCGGCGGATTGTTGCTTTGGTTAGATTGCTTGAAATGGATTTTGATACGTAAAAGTTAAGCGATTTTGTGTATTCAATGTCTGCGCATGTGAACTATTAGTGGAAAGAGAAAGAGAATAAGAAAGAAGTGCTCCAATGGTGGTGTGAACCTTAAGATAACGTATTTGCTTTTAACGTAGGCGCCTTGAGATACTGTCGTCATCCACTGTCTGTTAGCTCAAGCTGCGGTCAAAATCTCCCAAAAACTTCTGTATAATAATAATAATAAATAATTTATTTCGTCAAACATTAAAGTTACATTATATGATCATCTATGCGACAAATCAACATATTGTGAAAAAGTTCTTAAACAAATGATTATGGAAAGTTATCATTTTTTTACTTGACACTCGCAAAAGTATAACTGTACGAGTCTTTTAGGTATGAAGATCTTATATAGTATAGAGAAAAATCCTATCTTTTTTGTATTAACTGCGAAGGAAGGTTCGTTGAATTTATAATACAGTAAAGTAAACTAACAGACCAGCAGAAAACGTATTTAAATGTAGTAAATACAAGTCATTAAGCTAACAAACACCAAATAATGCTTTTCTTGACGTAATTTTTTGCAACGAGTCACGTTTAATTATAAAACGAAAAATTATAAGCAATTAAGTGAATAAGCAGTTTTTTTTTATAGAAGAGGGGGCAAACGAGCATGCGGCTCACCTGATGGTAAGTGACTACCGCCGCCCATGAACAACCGCAACACCAAGGGAATTGCAGATGCGTTGCCGGCTTTTTAGAAAGGTGTAAGCTCTTTTCTTGAAGGTCCCTAAGTCGTATCGGCCCGGAAAAATCGCCGGTGGTAAACAATACCACAGAGAAGTTGTGCGAGGAAGAAAATTCCTAGTAAAACGCACAGTCGTGGACCGCCAAGCATCCAGATGGTATGGATGGTATCGTGAATTTCGACGCGATGTGCGTTCGTGAAATTTGGCGGCTGGAATTAATTCCAACAATTCCTCAGATCACTCCCCGTAGTAAATTCGATAGAAAATGCAAAGGGATGCAACATCCCTACGCAGTGCCAGTGTATCGAGCCGATCAGAAAGAACTCGGTCGTCGATAATTCGAACCGCTCTGCGCTGGATGCGGTCAAGTGGAAGGAGCTGGCACTGGGGTACCCCGGCCCAGAGATGAGAACAGTATTCCATGTGAGGCCACATTTGCGCTTTGTAAAGTTGCAAGCGATGTCCCGGCTTGAAATACTGTCTCGCTCTGCTGAGTACGCCAAGCTCTTTAGAGGCCAATTTGGCCTTCCCTTCCAAGTGACCACGAAACTGTACACTATTCGATATGTCGACGCCGAGAATTCCGATGCTAGCTGAGGCAGCAAGGGGAGTGCCTGAAAAGACAAAGGGATTCTTTTTAGTGGTAAACGTGCAAACTTGTGTCTTCTGGGGATTGAACTGGACTAGATTTAGTCGCCCCCAATCTGAGACTTTATTCAGCAAGCTTGTCCCGGTACTCGGCGACGTTTTCCCGAGAAATATTGGCACGGCCGGTATATAAGGCATCACCAGTGCTGGCGTCTGCATAGCACTGAATGTTACCAGCTTGCATCACATCATTGATATGCAGGAGAAACAGCGTTGGTGATAGCACGCAGCCTTGTGGAACACCAGCGTTGATAGGCTTGAAATCAGAGCATGCAGCGTCTACTACGACCTCGATGCTCCGGTCAGCAGGGAAACTGGTGATCCATTTGCACACTTTCTCGGGAAGCTCATAGGAAGGAAGCATCGAAAGTAACGCTTTGTGCTAGACCCGATCGAAGGCCTTCGCTATGTCCAAACTAACGGCCAATGCCTCCCTCTTGGACTCTACTGCCTCCGCCTATCTATGAGTCAGGCAGACCAGAAGATCACCAGCTGATCGACACCGACGAAAACCGTACTGGCGGTCACTAATCAGCTGATGATCCTCAAGGTACCTCATGAGCTAGCAGTTTATAATGGATTCCATTATTTTGGAGATCAAAGAGGTGATGGCGATAGGCCTGTAGTTGGGCGGGTCTGAGCGGTCGTCTTTTTTAGGGATCGGGTGGACCAAAGCTGTCTTCCATGAATTCGGGACTACGCCTTGGGAGTAGGAGTACCGGAAAAGACGAGTTAAAACCGGTGCCAACTCCGGAGCACACGTCTTCAGCACAATGGAAGGGACTTGATCAGGCCCACTCGATTTGCTGACGTCCAGGCAGAAGAGTGTTTTACGAACCAAGCGCTGTGTAAATCGCACATCCGGCATGGAGCACTCACACCGACCATCCCGCGGTGTGTTCCCCCCGTCATCTAGAGTCGAGTTGGACGCAAAGAGAGAGCTTAAAAGATCGGCTTCCTCCTTTGCGGCATGGGCCGGTGAGTCATCCTCTCTGTGCAGAGATGGAAGAGTTGGCTGACAGAACTTCCCTTGGACAGCCTTGGCGAGAGACCAGAATGCACGGGTTCCGGAAGGGAGTCGAGCTAGCTTCTCGCCAATTCTGCCGATGTGCTCAGACCTTGCCTTAGCAATGACGCTTTTGAAGGACCTGGAGGCGAAATTATACTTCTTTTTAAGTGCGCTGGTGTTTACATCCCGAGACGATGATGCGTCAGCCCAGGTTTTACAGGAGCGACCAAACCATGGCTGTGATCTGCCTCCGATGGGCACCACAGATGATAGAATAAAAAGTTCCATAACCTAAAGTACCATATTAGCAACAGAATCGGCAACAACGCTGGGATCTTCCGGCGAGAAGCAAACCCGTCCCCAAGGGTAGAATGCAAAAAAAGAACGCATCCCGTCCCAATCGGCCGACCTATAGCGCCAAACACGGCGGCAAGCTGCAGATCACAACTGCGATGGGAGCGAGAGTGGCACCGTACTCCGGATCAGACAATGGTCCGAAGAGCCCAGAGGGGCATCGACAGAGATTTGATATCCGTCCGGACGAGAGGTCAGCAAAAAGTCCAACAGGGAAGGTACATGATACTCCACATCTGGGATCTGCGTAGGCGAAGTAACCAGTTGAGTTAGACCATATGCCAAGGCAAAGTCATAGACAGATCTACCCGCATGATCGGTTAAACGGGAACCAAGCCATTCAGAATGATGGGCGTTAAAATCACCGAGTATCACGATCTCTGCGGATGGGACCTGTTGTAGCACGGAGTCTGCATCCATTTGGACGTGGTCGATGAGTCGGTCTGTGTCGGCATTATCGCTATGAGACCTATAGAGGAACCCGTGGACACGGGGATGGTCGTCGCTGTCTACGCGCAGCCATAGGATGGACAGGTCCGTACCTTCAAGACTGCCGAGGCGTTGAAAACAGATGTCCTCTCTGACGTATAAGCAAACACCAGTCCGGGGCACAAAAGAGTGTTCTTATTTGTACCCCAGGTAGGAGAGATATGAAGTGTCAGCCGGAGACGACACCTGAGTCTCAGTTAAAAAGAGCAAGGCCGGCTTTGCCGTCTCTAGATGGTAATGGACAGCGTTAAGTTTGGAATGAAGTCCCCTGATGTTGCGAAAATTTACGGATAGCGTGACAGGGCTCGCCTTGGTCTTATTGCTTCGCTTGCGCCGAGGAGTATTAGTCGCGAGCGGAATTTTGCCCCCTCCCCCCATCCCCCAAAATACGCGGGGCAGCCTGAGCACCCACGCTCTGGAGTGGAGTAGCTTGGTCGTGGATGCTCAGCGAGGAATTCTCCATGGGTGCTGGTACCCTCCCGGGGTAGTCTTTTGTTTAATTCCGCTACCATGTTGATGGGGGGGGGGTTAATTGGACCTCCGGTCACCTGCCAAGCGCAACGCAGAGGTAAACCTCTGCTTCACGCTGGTGTTCTGTGAGGTTGTGGTACCACCCCGGTTTGAGCCGGCCCATCCGTGCGACAGCAAAAGCTGCCGCGTGGCTCTTCCACTGTTAAAAGTTTCTTACGAGAAAAGCTGTACACGCCCTGAGCTGCCCCAACAAAGGTTGACTGGACTATGGCCTATCAGTAATCCAATCAATGGGCAACAGAGGACGGGGCTTAACGGCCTATGGAAAATTATTATTCTACACAATAGATATAACGCTAGGTAATTAATAACAACGTACCTGGTTCCGTAGCTAAGACTGACCCCAAGGCTCGGTCAGGCGGTAAGTAGGTGCATGTAAGTAGTGTGTAGTAGTGTTTATATATTTGACCTGACCTAACTGAGGTGATCGGGCAGCGGCCTGGTCCGATGCTGCCCCACAATGTTGTATCACTCCAGCGGACGTCACCAATTGACAACTTCTTTCTTCATTTCACTATTTCAGTCTATCAACTTTACTGTACACTATTTCAATCCATCAACTTTATTGTACACTATTTCAATCCATCAACTTTATTGTACACTATTTCAATCCATCAACTTTATTGTACATTTAATTAACTTCAAACTCAACTAAATTCAACGTTCATCGAAATCAAACACGAGACACCCGACACAAGTAACGAACAGTCGTTCAAAGTTCAACATTCAATGTTCCAGATTCATTTAGCACCAAATTACAAACAGGGAACGAACGCGATCTCTTCTCGAGTCACAAAGTTCAGCGTTCCAAACAACAAACTAAATTCCTTCGTACGATATTAAATACTACGTCCGCAATAAGAACTCAAAATCAGCCTAGCTGACCCGCAAACTAACCACATAGTCAACACACAAAAGGCACTTAACGCGACGGTACAATTAAACATTAACTTCCAAAAACAATTAACCGGGCCATGCCCTCGAAATGGAATGCGAGCATCAAATTCCAGACCGTATGTCCACTCGGCGTGCGCGCAAGGTTCCCCGTCACACAAGCAAGTTAAATATTGCAAAATGCACTTCAACATGCAATCACTATAGAATTGACGTAATTACTTGCAAACGAAATTACTTTAATCAGTCAAACTCAATACAAGCCTCTTGTCACGAAACGTACAACTTAGACAAACTAATTCGAGGCGGTCTACACGAAACCCAAATTCAATAGTAAATTAAACACGCACAAATAAGCAAATTGTAGACCATCAAAACCAAAATCCTGGCCGCGCGAAACCGATGCAGCGGTCACAAAAATTCGCTAATCGACAGCGCCGCTGCTTTCAAGCTACTGACTTAGCACTCGCTTCCTGCGCCCGCGCCCTCTTCCGAGCGACCCACACGGGAGTGGGGTGAAGGTGACCTTTACAAAGTCAGCGGGAGGACACGAGTGTTGAATGCAAATTTCAAATATTAATTTTTTGGCCTAAACAAAAGCAGTTATAAGTTTCTTACGAAAAAATTATGCACATGAATTTGTTGTGCATTTTAAGCCGTTATTCACACCTCTAGTTAATTGTCTTTGTACACAGCGAGCTGCGCGGCAAGGAGGCTTTGTGCCGCGCGGTGCAGACGCAGCGCGAGCGGGCGGCGCGCGCGCGCGGCCTGCGCGCCGACGAGCCCGACTTCGCGGACCTCGTGGACGCGCCCGCCATCTTGCGTGCGTGCACACCACTACCTGCCTTTACTTGTAACACGTAGTGTACACAACACACACACACAACAGTTGACATTCACTTTCACATAAATACACAAAAGTTCACCTATAATGCAAACCTGAGTATATAGGAGTATATAGCTCTAAATTTAATACTACACTGCTGGCCGTATGAGGAAACTCAAGGTCGCTCAGCAAGCTATGGACAGGGTATGCTAGGAGTTTCTCTGTGTTATAGACTTCATAATGAGGATGGCCGCAGTAGAACGGTTCACAACGGTTGGCAAGGTGTAAGCCTCGTACTAGATGGAGCGAAGATCTGGTAATTTACTTGCAGTGAATTGATTAGATACAGATGACTTAGGACAGTACTTTATGATATTCCTTGCATATGTTCAACTGTGGACTTGTGGTGATATATGCAAAAATTGTGTAATTATGTAAGCACCGCTTCTCTCTTTTTAACTTGTTTTTTTTTAATCACAGCATCATCAAAGTTCCAACTGGCATTAACGCCGCCGGATTTCGCGCAGCATCGCGTAGAGGACCTCTTCAAATCCCTTGGTCCTATAGCGGTATTCTCAGCGAAACGTCACTGGAGCGCTCCCCGTCTCATCCAACTGCAAAAGAACACGGAAAAAAGAAGAGAAGCGCGCCGCGATATGAGAAACGGCAGAGAGAACGAGGAAAGTAAAGTCAGAAGACGACCGAGTGACAAACGCGATAGATCTGAAGACAACAGCACGTACTACAATCAGCTGATCAGAGGCGACGATAAAACTATGGACGAACGCGACAAGAGAGTGACAAAACAAAATGGCGTCTATATCAACAGTTACAATAATAATAATAATTATGAATATCACCCAAAAGTAATCGATTACGACAGATATGAAGAGCACGACGGTAAAATGGAGAACGGAATCAGTAGAGATAGAGACAGCAATAACAAAACGAAGAACAGCAGAGAACGGAGGAAGGATCCATTGAGAAGGGTGGCGAGTGAATATAACGTATCCAATAGTAAGGAGGATGAAGGTTTCGGGTTCTCCGTTAGAGGCGACGCGCCTGTTGTGATAGCTGCGGTTGAACCGAATTCTTTAGCTGAGGTAACTTTTAATTTTTGTTGTATTAAAAAATAAACATTATAGTTTAACTTAAATATAAAAATATCGGCACTGTATTTTCTACTCGTTAACATGGCTGACCTAATGACATATACGTGACATTATGCTGCTATTTTACGCTGTTCCGTGCGAGTGTGGTCAGGCCCCGGTCAAGCCGACCCATATTTTGCTGCAATATTACAACGACATTGTCGCTCTACCACGTTTAAAATAATCAGATTATTAAATAACAAAACAGATATTAACTTATCATTAAAAACATGCAACTTGGTGTTCTGGTCTGTGTATAGAAAGGCAGTATAATTTTTTACAGGTCGTGCGACATCTTAACTTAGTCCTCAAAGGTAGCAACGCATCCGTGACCTTTGTTTAAGGTGAAAGCGCCAGGGTAGCCCGCGAAATTCAAATTTTCTTACGTTTTTTGCAATTTGCAGGTCAGTGTCAGGTTGTATGTTTAACAAAATATGATTCGCGACCGTAATGAGTATGTCTTTACAGAATTATAATCATCATAATCATCAATACCACCGTCTATGTTCGTATAATTCCAATGTATGGCTATTTCCAGAAAAACTCGTTCATGGGGATTATATGAACTTAGAGGGTTGTATTGGTGATTTTAATGATAATAATTCTATAAACACATACTCGTTACGGTCGCGAATCATATTTTATTAAACATTCAAGCTGACCCTGACCTGCAAATTCCAAAAAACGCAAGAAAATTTAAATTTCGCGGGCCACCCTAGAGCATTCACCTTAAGGCAGCCATAAACTGCAGTACCATCTTATTATTGACTTATTTATTTTAATCACTATTTTAAAAAAATCAAGTGCGTGCACATTAGTGTAATGTTGGAAGGTGTTAAATGAAAAGGTGACGTGTTGCTCAGTTTGTCTTTAATTATATTGGTCTTTATTACAAACTTAATGCTTCCTCTACACTACTCGCGAAGTAACTTCGACGAAGTGCTCGTCGAAGTCGATCGCAGTCCGAAGAACGTGTCCACACACTCGTGCTACTTCGTGAAGAGCTCAGTCGTCTTGAGTCTCCCGCACCGTTAACATGAATGACGTTCAAGAGGCAGCTGCTTTATGTACCTAATTGTGTGAACAGTACGACGTCAATGCGTTAACTAAATAAATAATTATGTAGAAAGCTATATATTTAATATTTATATATTAAAAAAATATTTATAACTGACGTAAGCCGAGTAGTGTAGTGAGACGCTTCGTGTAACTTCGATGTACTTCGCGAAGCCCTTTGACTCTGGCGCAAAAAACCGACAGCGATCGGAAGTCGCCCGAGGCGAAGCGAGGTTGGACGAAGTGAATCGAAGTACCTCTCTACACTATTCGCCTCGTCCAACTTCGATCTACTTCGCGAGTAGTGTAGAGGAGGCATAAGGCTGGATGTTCCAAGCGCATTAGGTATTTACTGGTAGTCGTCGCAAAAATCTAGTCGCGCCGCGCATTTATTTAAAGTTATAAACAAATATTTACACAATGAGAAACAAACACATAAACACAAGCTTAACTATGGTCTATATAAGTTCCATAAAACTATAGTTATTTACAATTTATTTTATTTCCTAAATATTATTTACGTAGCAGAAGAGAAGCGCGCGCGCAGAAACTTGGCAGAGGTCTTACCTCGGCAACGTCCCGCGGGACACTGCTGGCAAGCGACGCCGACGCACGGATCAAAAATTACTTAATTTTTTTTATAAATGTAATTTTAAAAAAAACCATCGGATGGAATCGATTCCAAAATGAATTACCTATAAATTGATATTTTTTATAACATTAGTGTTAGAGAACACATTTAGGATAATGTCCTCTAGACCTAATTTCGGTCACGGCGGCCTGTCTCAATACAGACTATATAAGCACAAGCACAGGTGAACTCTCAATTCCTTCACTCTTATAGTCCGATGGGACAGCAACCCGATACGAACGGAGAGAGATCAGGCGTAGGACCACCGGCTTTACATGCTTTCCAGGCATGCTGTTAAAACACCGCCAAATTCTTCGCTCTGGGTTGCTACTGAAAATTGTTCTGCAGAAAAACCCAATAAATGTTTATACGTGGTAGAGCCATGCTGCAGCTATATTACGAGTAATAGTATAGTTGTAGCATGAATGGATCGGCTCGACCGGGGAATGACCACGCTCTCATAGAATACCAGCTTAAAATAGCAGCTTTATGCTGCTGTGTTTCGTATGGTGAGTGTAGAGAACCGGAATCTTTTTTACTGGAAAAGAGGCATTCCATCTTAGTCCTCACGGCTGACAACGCATCTGCATTTTAATTCGCAAACGAAGATAGATGTAGATGTCTATGGGCCACAGCAACCACTTACCATCAGGTGGACTGTGTGCTGCTTTGTCATCCTTACTCTATAAAAATGATTTAGCTCCACCTGCACCACGTAATCAGCGGTCGTTCTTACGACCATTACACGAACGACGCTGTGGAACTATAACAAACACAAGAAAATCGAGCGTCATTGACTTTTTTTATTACAGATTGGTGGGATGAGGGAAGGCGACTTCATTATATCGATAGGAGATAAGGACGTAAAATGGAGTTCACACGAGGAAGTCGTGAGTCTCATACAGGAGGCGGGAGACTCGCTCACACTGCGTCTTGCAACGCCGATGGACAAAAGTTGCGTCAAGGTATGTTACGTTGCAGTGCAAGGTCCATCGCCGCCATTTTGTATTGTGTCGGTAATTTTTTTTATAGAATAAGGTTGACAAACGGAAAAACAGTTCACCTGATGTTAAGTGGATACCGTGGCCTATAGTCACCATCATCTACATGTATCCTGAAATTAGAATCAATATGCAGATGCGTTGCGTGGTCCTTCCCTGGACGAACTGACCCATTCGTGCTAACCACAATATAGCTGTACTCGTAGCGTGAATACCACATATAAATATTAAAATAACTGGTTTCTTTTAGGCTCGGAAGATTATTTACAAGCTATTAAGACTGATATGAATAAGCAATTTTTGTCTGTCTGTTCGGGTTGATCTTCGAAATGGCCGAACCGATTGTAATATAACTTTACGCACAGATAGCAGAGCAATGCAAGTTGAGACGTAGGTTATATCTTATCCGAAAACTTAGAGATTTTGGTGAAAACGAAAAATTTATAAAATAAATGGTTTTTGATTATCTTAAGTCTGAATAACGGCGCATCAATGGATCCTATCGAGGTGAAGCCGGGGCGGCGTATGAAATAAGACTGTCCTATTATTTCTCGTCATCCATTCTATCCATTACAGTCTATAAAAGTCCACTGCTGAACATAGGCTTGAGGATGTTTGCCATAGTTGTCATGTTTGACGGGCGGTTTGATATCTGCAGCTTTTTTTTAAATTTTTGTTATTAGGCAATCGCTGCTGTCTGTCTCCTGGTTTGCTGATCGTAGTTTAGATATGACTGTTCTAAAGTTTCATTTAACTATTCATCATAGCATTATTAATTTTATAAGTGACTAGCGATACGCCCCAGCTTCGCCCAAGTGATGGTTAATAGCGCCATCTACCGCGTCCAATTGTGAATCTATTCATCGGAATCGATTGGACCAGTTTCTAGTTTTAACGACACTAACGGAAAGCAATTGATTTTTATATATAGAGATAGAAGATTTTTATAATGTTACTTCTAAACTCCAGGGTTGCGGGGTGAATGGGGGCGGGGACGGCGGTGCGGGTGCGGGCGGGGGCGCGGGCGCGGCGGGCTCGGTGTCGGGCGCGTCCAGCGCGTCCAGCGGCTCCACGCACACGGCGCGCTCCCCGCGCCGCGCTCCCTCCTGGAATCCCTTCCGTCGCGCAACACGCGATCATTCTAACACACAAGCACACTCCAACGTCATCTTCAGATAGACACACAAAACCTACAACTCTACTAAATTATACTGACTCCACACTGACGAGAGAGGGCGCTGTTACAAAAACTATCACATATCGAATTAACATTACAGGATTACAACATGCACAAGACAGAAGGCGCTATTATTACAAAAACAAATTGCCTACTTTATACTCTACCGTCCAAAGGTATTCAGGATGTTTAAACTCTGTTATTAAAAATTTTAGAAACATTTCAAAATTGTTGTTTTTGTCTAATGTGAAAATTAATAATATTAGAATTAAAGAAAAAATAAGCAACATGCTCAAATAGTGTCGATCGAATCCACTACTATTTTTGCGCCAGAACGGGAATGAGGTAAAATATTTGACATATCTCATGGCGTGAGAAGCTATTTGTTAAAAAAATATACGAGGTTTAATGTCACATTCTGAAATATTAATTATATGTGAAATAAAAAAAACCACTGCATTGTTTTTAAAAAAAACTGATTAACTTTTATTTTAAACACAACTTAATTATAATTGCATTATGTAACATGTAACCTCAGTACCAACTAGCGACACTTAGTGATCGTAAAATTATTAGACCTCATTCTGCGATGATTCTAATAATAGTAGAGTCATGAAATTATTGTATTACCATCGAATCGTAATATCTGCAAAATTTCAATTTCAATATGACCATGACAGTCATACATACATATTATACAGGTCAAACCATTGAGTTATATGTACTACGTACTAGAGAAGCCATTCCAAACATTGACTATGTTCAACTGAACTATAGTGCAATCCAAAGAGCATATAATCACTACGTTTAGTGCAATCCATACAAACTAAATATTGCGTAAATTGAAGATTTGTGAATTCCATAAAATAATTATTATTACATTTTATTTAGAAATATGTTTGTTTAGATTAAATTAAGATATTTTATATTAAATTCTTATATGTATTTTATATTAATATCTTATTTTAAATCAAATTAAAGTCTTCGCTCATGCACGACTACTACTCCCGCGCATGCGCGAAGACATAGAGTAGGACACAATTTTTGTTTGGAATGGCTTCTCTAGTACGTAGTACATATAACTCAATGGGTCAAACTAATAATAACGTGTTAAAAACAGTAAACTTTCAAACTAATTCAATAGTTTAAGTATTATTTTTAAACAAATTACAAAATTATGTATAACGTATTATTTCTCTGTTTCTCGCACACGGAATTCAAGATAAAATAACGAAATTGCAATATAAAAAGGTGTTTCACATACTGACAAAAGCAAAGACAAGCAACTATTTACCTATGCAGAATCTTATAACTAAAGATACAGATTACCTAAGCCTTACAGATAACATACACACAGAACTATAAAAAAAGTCATACCACAGACACATTTTAGTACTATATACTTTAATAAACTAGCCCATAATCTTAAATCTCACATTAATGTAAGCGAAAAATATGATTTATGATAGTTTTCGTCTCAAATTTTTACACTTAACAGTCATGATACTTCAAAACGTATTCTTGATCGAGTCAATATTAAAATAACATAAAGTTCTTGTTTATGTGATTTAAGTTGGTAATGGTATAATTTGGTTGTAGTTTTGTTATTATACTATTTGGTGAACGGAATTGGCAACTATTATATATTTAGTTAACTAAATATATAATTAGAATTTTGGCTATGATTATCCAAAGGAAAGGTTTTATACTTGTTCTTATTTCCTTATTTTTAGTCTATAATCAGATATAATATAATATTGTTGTGTAAAATTTTGTAATTAATTTATAATACTGCTTTTAATCATAATTAAAAATGTTATATACCTATAATTTATACAGATTTTGTTTTGATTTGAGCCCAACCATTATTGCAGATAGTAAAAATTTTGATGGTGGTGCACACGGCAAGAACTAAGCCAAGAGAGCCAACTAAGACAAATTGCCTTTGAAGACATGTATGTAATCAAAGACAAATGTAACTAACTGACAAAAGAAAAATAATCTTAAGCATCATCGCATTAATTATAACAAAAACGCGTAAATATAACAAAATTACGGACTTTTGCTAGATGCCGGCTCTACATAGACCGTCTAACTCTCGAAGAATGGCTCACATACGTTGGATGATACGGCCTCGTTCGCTCCGCGACCGTCGGGTATTTATTGCTAAATCGACACCACATCAAGTGTATAACCTTAATCGCCAACCTCCGGTCCTCTATAAATCAGACTGTTTTATTTCGTTTTTTTTTCTTCTAAGAAATAATAATTTTCGTTTTGACTAGATTTTTTTTTTAATTTTGCATTGTTTATAGAGGGCGGACGTTATGGTTGGATCAAGCTCGCTCAGGTTGAGACGAACATCGGGGGTCAAACGTTTGGACAATAATGTAGAAAGTTGCAAAGTTTTCCTGCAATAAATAGCACTTGAGTTGTTTTTGATACAATGGGCGAAATGTCACAAAATACTAGTTCTTCCAACGACTTGTGTAAACTGTCACATCTTTATTTCACTCAAGACGTGCACAGTTAATGATGTTTCGAAAATAGATTCGAATTTACTCCTAAACACCATTCAAGATATTTATGTTTATTTTTTTAAACTGCATATAGAAAGTTACAAAGTATTTCAGAATATTTTAAAATAAATAAATGTATATTTTATATTATTAATTCCATTTTTATTTTGGTTGTGATCGATTTAAAAAGCACCGAATGTCCAATAACATTGATCGCAACCAAAAATATTCCATAACGGTCATATAATTGTACCAATAATGTAAAAAGTTTATTTTAGGTTATATAAATGTATATCGGTGTAAAAATTTGTTCTAAGCAATAAATATGAATAAAGAATTGTAAAGATTGTATTTTTATCAAAAATAAATATTATTTAACAAAGAACCATAGTTTTTTTTGTGTTTTTATTTTCTGTTCGGTACATGCAAACTATTTCAGTGAATGCAAATAAAACAAAACCATTTCAAGTTCTAAAAATGATGTTGAATGAGTTAGTTCCAATACCGACATTATTGAAATACTGATTAGTTATAACTTATTACATATAACACCCGTGGAGACAAACGGTCAATAGAATGGCGTCATATAATAAATGTAAAATGTATGGCTGTAAGGGCATCCACAACTTTTTCTGGCACCAGAGTGGCGTCACTTAAAAGTGGATCATTTCGAGTGTCAGTACTCTGTGATCTGTGAGAACCGCTCGATGTCGGTCGTCGGACATTACTGTACTCTTTGATTGCAGGCAAGCGGATTTTTCATTAAGGCTCAGAAGGGCTAGAACCCAGAGCCGTAAAGCCAGTTTACAAAAAAAAGGATTTTTTATTTTCTAGTTGTTATTAGAGGCTGCTGCCCATCTCCTGGTTTGTTTTCCTCTGTCGATTCTTACGCTACCCATGGGACGGTATACGATAGTGGATTTTCTTACACCGCCACTATCGCATAAGGCTGAAAGTCGCCTGATCAATATCGAAAAGAAACTCGATAAGAATATCGAGTTGAAGAAAGAATATGAGAAGCAAGTCGAAAATCTCATTGTTAAAGGTTACGCAGAGAAGGTGAATACAAATAAAAGACAATAATCATAACAAGTAACATTTATTTATTACAACTATTAATAAGTAACAATCATTGCACTGATACAGGCAAAGAATATTATAAAAACATTTGGAAATTATATCTCTTTTAGAAAAATCAAGTAACAAAGTGGTTTGTAACCCCTGTATACAATATTTCAAGCCGTCATAATTATTTTTACTAAACTAGGTGGTAAAGGAAACCTCATTCCATTACAGCCTATAAAAGCCCACTACTGAACATAGGCCTACCTCATAGATTGCCATAGTTGCCAGGGAAACCCAGTATCTTTTATAGGATAAGGGTGACAAGCGAGAACATACTCCACGTGATTGTAATTGTATGCTGTGGCTCATAGACATCTACATTTATCCTCAATTAAGAATCAAAAAGCAGATGCAATTGTATGCTGTGGCTCATAGACATCTACATTTATCCTCAATTAGAATCAAAAAGCAGATGCAATTGTATGCTGTGGCTCATAGACATCTACATTTATCCTCAATTAAAAATCAACAAGCAGATGCAATTGTATGCTGTGGCTCATAGACATCTACATTTATCCTCAATTAAGAATCAAAAAGCAGATGCAATTGTATGCTGTGGCTCATAGACATCTACATTTATCCTCAATTAGAATCAAAAAGCAGATGCAATTGTATGCTGTGGCTCATAGACATCTACATTTATCCTCAATTAAGAATCAAAAAGCAGATGCAATTGTATGCTGTGGCTCATAGACATCTACATTTATCCTCAATTAGAATCAAAAAGCAGATGCAATTGTATGCTGTGGCTCATAGACATCTACATTTATCCTCAATTAGAATCAAAAAGCAGATGCAATTGTATGCTGTGGCTCATAGACATCTACATTTATCCTCAATTAGAATCAAAAAGCAGATGCAATTGTATGCTGTGGCTCATAGACATCTACATTTATCCTCAATTAAAAATCAACAAGCAGATGCAATTGTATGCTGTGGCTCATAGACATCTACATTTATCCTCAATTAAGAATCAAAAAGCAGATGCAATTGTATGCTGTGGCTCATAGACATCTACATTTATCCTCAATTAGAATCAAAAAGCAGATGCAATTGTATGCTGTGGCTCATAGACATCTACATTTATCCTCAATTAAGAATCAAAAAGCAGATGCAATTGTATGCTGTGGCTCATAGACATCTACATTTATCCTCAATTAGAATCAAAAAGCAGATGCAATTGTATGCTGTGGCTCATAGACATCTACATTTATCCTCAATTAGAATCAAAAAGCAGATGCAATTGTATGCTGTGGCTCATAGACATCTACATTTATCCTCAATTAGAATCAAAAAGCAGATGCAATTGTATGCTGTGGCTCATAGACATCTACATTTATCCTCAATTAAGAATAAAAAAGCAGATGCAATTGTATGCTGTGGCTCATAGACATCTACATTTATCCTCAATTAGAATCAAAAAGCAGATGCAATTGTATGCTGTGGCTCATAGACATCTACATTTATCCTCAATTAAGAATCAAAAAGCAGATGCAATTGTATGCTGTGGCTCATAGACATCTACATTTATCCTCAATTAAGAATCAAAAAGCAGATGCAATTGTATGCTGTGGCTCATAGATATCTACACTTATCCTCAATTAAGAATCAAAAAGCAGATGCATTGCCAATCCTGAAGACTGAGATGGAATGCCTCGTTTCTAATAAAAAGTGTCTCCGGTTCTCTACACTCACCATACGAAACACAGCAGCATTAATCTGCTTACTGCTTACGTTGGTATTCTGTGAGAGCGTGGTCCTACCCCGGACGAGCCACCCATTCGTGTTGCAACCACAATATAGCTGTAGCATGGCTCTACTACGTAAAAAAAATACCACATACGGAAACCCAGTCCCGAAATGCCACATTTTGGACAGTTTAACAGATTGTCTCCTTTCCCTTTTCAAAAATTGCCAGACTGGTTACAAACACCAGAGTTTTTGCGAACTGTCTGGCGGACATCGCCAATCCGTTTACCAAACGTGGTGATTTTGATTATCTCTCACTTTATGGGAAGCTATGCCCAGTAGTGGACTACAACTAAATGATGATGAGGAAAGTTGACGAACGAATGTTATCTATTAAAATACTTCTCGAACAACTTTTTAGAGTCATCGTACACCCCGAAAAACACAAACCCGCCCAAAGTGAACGCTGTCATCCGTGGTACGACCCCAGCAAATAGCCCCTTGAACCCTGACTCCAGGTAGATGCTGGTAAGGACCGGCCTGATGCGGAGCTTCCTCGTGGTCGTGTAGTCTTCGGCTAGCATGATGCGTGTCTTTGCCAGGTCCAAAGGGGTTGTAACTGCAGCGGTGAAGCCACCAGCTATTGACCCACAAATTGCACTCTGAAAGTAATAACCACCTGGCTAAATGATAAGTTCCGGGTTCAAAATCAAATTTCATATTTGCTATTTAGGCTTGGGACACAATATTTTATGTTTATGAGTTTTCAGATGATATGATACAAATTATAGTTTTAAGCATATTTTAAAAAAAATAGAGCGAGGGGCCAGCTGATATGGGCTCCACACATTTAGGTGATAGTTGAAGTCGCGATAAGCGAAATCGTAACATTTTCTCTAATCAATATTGTTCCTAACAAAGTTCAAATTTAGTAATAAATTTCATAAAATGGTCGATAAAAAGAAATGGAGTTTATACAATTTTAAGTAATTTTGCACGTGGTAGAGCCAAGCTGCAGCTATATTTATAATATAGTTGTAGCACGAATGGGTCGGCTCGACCGGGGAAGGACCACGCTCTCACAGAATACCAGCGTAAAATAGCAGCTTAACGCTGCTGTGTTTCGTATGGTGAGTGTAGAGAACCGGAGACCCTTTTTACTGGAAATGAGGCATTCTATCTTAATCCTCACGGGTGACAACGCATTTGCATTTTGATTTGCAATTGAGGATAGATGTAGATGTCTATGGGCCAAAGCAACCACTTACCATCAGGTGGACTGTGTGCTCGTTTGTCACCCATTTCTATAAAAAAAAATTACTGGCAGTGGACTTTCCAGAGTGATGAAAAATAACTTTAAATTTGGTAGGCGAGTTGGTCAACCATAGTTTTAATTGACTTATGATGCTGTCCAACTCCTGTTCCAGTTTCCTTCTGTCACCTCTTGTGACGCCACAGGATGATATATGCATCGTTATGAAGTAATATATGATTCCTTACACGTGCCACGCTGCAGCTATATTATGGTTGTAGCACGAATGGGTCGGCCCGACCGGGGAAGGACTACGCTCTCACAGAGTACCAGCGTAAAATAGCAGCTTAACGCTGCTGTTTTTCGTATGATGAGTGTAGAGAACCGGAGACACATTTCACTGGAAACGAGGCATTCCATCTTAGTCCTCAGTGGTGACAACACATATGCATTTTGATTCTTAAATTCTTAAAAATCAAAAATCTTTATTTCATTAACTTAAGGTGAAAGCTCCAGGGTGGCCCGCGAAATTCAAATTCTCTTACGTTTTTTGCAATTTGCAGGTCAGGGTCAGGTTATATGTTTAACAAAATATGATTCGCGACCGTAACGAGTATGTATTTACAGAATTATAATCATCAATAGAATCCCCTAAGTTCGTATAATCCTATTGTATGGCTATTTCCAGAAAAAGTCATTCAAAGGAATTATAAGAACTTGGAGGGTTGTATTGGTGATTTTAATGATAATAATTCTGTAAACACAGACACGTTACGATCGCGAATCATATTTTGTTAAACATTCAACCCGACCCTGACCTGCAAAGTCCAAAAAACGTAAGAAAATTTGAATTTCGCGAGCCACCATGGAGCTTCCACCTTAAGTCTAAAGATACAAGTGTGCTATGTTTGAAGATTCCTTTTAAGCTAAATAAATTGCTTGTCCTAGGAAACTCGGCTCTTCCAAAAACACTTTTACAACATACATTTAGACTCCTATATGTATATAATAATATGATCCAATAAATTTAACACACACCTGTAGTCCATTAATCTCTCCATTGTTCCGTTCCTTCACCATGGTCTTCAGTAACTCCCACACCGGCAACTCGATCAAACTGAACGGTATATCCCTCGCTACCGTCGAAAAGAAGCCCCTGTACAGACCGTTTCGGAAGCCTTCTGCTTTGTAAGCGTCCATTAATATAGATACCGCGCTCAATCTCTTCATGCCCACGTACGTCTGCTTTCTTTGCTTCGCTATCTCCGTTGGGACACGAATTACGCACGCTAACTGGAAAATGGATATGCGACAGATCAGTTCATCAGTTTATTTTTCTTCAATAAAAGGGGTAGGTTCTGAATTCGACTTTATTTTTTAATGTGAGTTACCTCAGAACTTTTTTCTAGATGAACCGATTTTGATGATTCTTTTTCTATTTGAATGTTGTTGCTTGTCATGCGGTCCAGTAGACCAGTAGTTTTTAGTTATCCTTAATAATACTACATACACATTGTTAAGGATAACTAAATTCACCTCAACTACATTGATGATGTTCTCATTTTCTTTATATTGAAGTCGGCTGTACAAAATTTTTAATTTTATTACTTTGAATAAAACTACTTTTACGCATTCTATCGCGTTTAATTAACTTATTTTTCATTGATTCCCGACCTTTCGGGTACTTTACAGCTCCCATGGTCACGGGGGACTTAAGTGACTGACGTCCCGATGTAAAAGTTACCCGGAGTACAGCTTTTTTAATTATTAATTTTGGTCCGACCTACGCAGAATGAACTAACTGTGTCTTTAAGTCTTACAGTGGTATGCTTGGGTTTAGTTTTAATTTTATTAATTACAGGATCCAAAGCAGGTGGTATCCAGCCTCCCTCTCTTTTGAAATTGGGATGTTTTTTTTTTTAATTTCAATAGCCTCACTTATCATCCTTGGCAGGAATCGATGTTCTTTCGCGAGAAATTGTGGTTCATCAAATCTAATGTAATGGCGGGCCATCTAGGATATGATCACAAAGTGCAGACTTCCCGGAACATTGGTGTTTCACGTCCGCTATGTGTAAAGCACCCGAAACTTCGGGAATCAATAAAAATAAATTGATTAAACGCGATAGAATCTGTAAAAGTAGTTTTATTCAAAGTAATAAAATTTAAAAATTTTGTACAGCCAACTTCAATATAAAGCAAATGAGAACATCAGCAATGTAGTTGAGTTGAATTTAGTTATCCTTAACAATGTGTATGTAGCATTATTAAGGATAACTAAAAACTACTGGTCAGATCTTGATCAAATGTAGTGTAGTTTCAAATGTGTTCGCGTAAATATAAGAAATCATTAATTTTATTACTTGTTAAATCTCCAAGTTTTCGGATAAATATAGTCTAGATCACTTCAGACATTACTCTTTATCCTTATCTAGCGTGAAGCTTCATTACAATCAGTTCAACCATTCCAAAGATTAGCCCCGCACGGACAGACAGACAGACAAACACTTTAAAAATGGTTGTCTAAGTCACAATGGTATGCAAATAACTCCCTCAGCTCAATATAAGGTAATTATTTCAATATTACAAAGAAACATTTTAATTTTATTTATACAGTAGAACGCCCATTAACCGAATCGCCAATTATTCGAATCGGTCCTAAGCGTAATATAAAAAATTAAAACAAAGTATTGTAATTAAGTAACGTAATTTTTGTTTTGTTTTATTGTACAAGTTGTAACAAGATGGAACACGCTGGAGTCCAGATATATTTTTCAACTTTTATGGTTGAAAGCTACAAGACACTACATGTTTTGCGTCTTCTAGTCTACTAGTGTCTAGTCTAGTCTAGTGCACTACTTACGTATTGTAGAACTGTGTTTGTTAAACTTAATAAAGTTTATTCTATGTGTGACAGTTCGTTTTTCTTTATTACATACGCCGTCTATGTCCGATTATCCAAATTTTCGATTATCCAATTAATTCGGATAATCGGCGTTCTACAGTATGTATAAATTTATTAAGTTACATATATTATGTTAAGAATTTTGGGTTAATTTTATAATACTAATTCAATAATATAATACACTTACCACTTCGCTAACGCTCGCGGCGAACATGTGCACCAATGGGGCATACTGTGGCAAAACCAAGGGTTGTACTAATCCTTTAGTAGCCTCGTAACATACAAAGAATAAAGCTGTTGTCGGCATCGACGTAGCCGCTACTGTTGTCAACCCTGTGGATAATATTGGCCACTAATTATCTGACTAGTGAATGTCCGCGACTTCGCGTAGAGCTGGTTATTATTACCATTTTGCACACAGGTTGGCCGCATGAGGACGCTCAAGGTCGCTCAGCGAGCTGTGGAGAGGGCTATGCTCGGGGTTTCTCTGCGTGATAAGCTTAGAAATGAGGATATCCGTAGTAGAACCAGAGTGACCGACACAGCCTAACGGACTAGTAAGCTGAAGTGGCAATGGGCCGGCCATATAGCTCCAAGAACCGACAAACGATGGGGGAAAAAGGTTCTTGAGTGGCAGCCTCGTACCGGTAGGCGAACTGTATGGCGACACCCCACTCCTGACGACCTGGTAAGACATGCAGGAAGTCGATGGATGCAGGTGGCTCAGGACCGTGCTTTGATGCATTCCTTGGGGGAGGCCTATGTTCAGCAGTGGACTTGTGAAAGGCTGTAATGATGATGACACACGTTGGCTTTACTGTCGACTTGAAAAGGTCTCGCTACTCGCGCTCATTTCTAAGTTTATCACGCAGAGAAACTCCGAGCATAGCCCTCTCCATAGCTCGCTGAGCGACCTTGAGCTTCCTCATACGACCAGCAGTGAATGATCAGGTCTCAGTTCCATAAGTCATCAACTGGCAACACGCACTGGTTGTACAGTTTCGATTTCAAGTTTTGAGATATACACGACGAGAAGATGTGTCGGAATTTCCCGAACGCTGCCCAGCCGAGTTGAATCCGTCGATTGACCTCTCGGTCGAAGTTAGACTTACCTAGTCGGACTATTTGTCCCAGGTAAACATACTCAGAGATATGTCAAACATTGAATAAAAATAAATTCTATATCTAATTCTAAGCAAGTTGATGAGCTGGCACTGGGGAGCCCCAGCCCATCTCTGGGCTGGGACTCCTTCCACTTGACCGCATCCAGCGCAGAGCGGCTCGAATCGTCGACGACAGAGTCCTTTCCGATCGGCTCGATTCATTGGCACTACGAAGAGATGTTGCATCTCTTTGCATTTTCTTTCGCATTTACCACGGGGAGTGCTCTGAGGAATTGTTCGGATTAATCCCAGCCGCCAAATTTCACGAACGCACATCGCGGCAGAACTCCCGATACCATCCACACCATTTGGATGATTGGCGGTCCACCATTGTGCGATTTAGAAGATGTTTTCTTCCTCGCACAACTTCCTTGTGGAATAGTTTACCACCAGCGATTTTTCCGGACCGATACGACTTAGGGACCTTCAAGAAAAGAGCCTACTCCTTTTTAAAAGGCCGGCAACGCATCTGCAATTCCCCTGGTGTTGCGGTTGATCATGGGCGGCGGTAGTCACTTACCATCAGGTGAGCCGCATGCTCGTTTGGCCCCTCTCCTATAAAAAAAAAGATAAAAGTATCTATATCAACTAACCTTTATAGACTCCTCTGAAACCACCAGCTTTCTGAAAGCCTTGCTCACTCTGCAACCGAGTCTTCAATGTGTCCAGGGGATACAATGCCAAATCTACTGATATACCTGCCAGAGCACCAGCCTAAGGAAGATCAGAGTGTTTTACAAAATTAAGCCATTGTTTTATAAAATCTTATATAGTATTAAGCGGGCTGAAAAGTTTGTATCGTTTCTATAAGATGGCGCCACTAGAATAAAATCCATTTCATTTTTAGTTAGTACCAACCTTCAAAAGAAACGTGTATAAATTTGATAGCTGTCGGGTTATTAGTTTGTGAGACACAACATTTTGATTGAAGCAACTTTTGTTATTTTGAAAAAAATGGATAAAAAGGATTTTCGTATTCTAATTAAACACTATTGATGAAAAAAAGTGCTGCTGATACCAAAACTGACTGTCTGAAGACGATGAACGTAGTGGACGTCCAAAAGATGCTGTTATGTACAAAAACATCAAAAAAATCCACAAAATGATTTTGGAAGATCGTAAATTGAGGTTGATTTGTATAGCTGACACTGTAAAGATATCAAAGGAACGTGTTGGACATATCGTTCATGAATATTTGGGTATGCAAAAGCTATGTGCAAAGTGGGTGCCGCGCGAGCTACAATCGACCAAAACCAAGAATGTTCAACCGCAATAGAAGTGAAATTTTGAGTTGATATGTGACAATCGATGAAACATGGATCCACAACTACACTCCAGCGTCCAGTCGGCAGTCATCTGAGTGGACTGCACGCGACGAACCGAATCCAAAGCGTGGAAAAACTCAACAGTCGGCCGGTAAGGTTATGGCGTCCGTATTTTGGGTTGCACATGGAATAATTTTCATACGCTATTTTGGAAAGGGAAAAACCATCAACAGCAACTATTATATAGCGTTACTGGAGCGTTTGAAGGATGAAATTGCGAAAAAATGGCCCCATTTGAAGAACAAGAAAGTGTTGTTCCATTAAGATAATGCGCCGGGTCACATATCGATGAAAACAATGGCAAAATTGCATGAGTTGGGCTTCGAATTGCTTCTGCATCCACCATATTCTACAGGTTTGGCTCCCACTGACTTTTTCCTGTTGTCAGATCTCAAGAGAATGCTTGCTGGAAAGAAATTTAAAGCCGATGAGGAAGTAATAGCCGTAACAGAGGCCTATATTTGTTTGAAAAGTTGAAAGATCTCTATAATCGGTCTATCGCCCTCGATGGCAACTATATTGAATAATAAATTAGAATTTTGACAAACAAATATGTTTTTCTATAAAACTATACGAATTTCTGCCTAACTGTTATAGAACTCCACACACACATAACACATACGCTACACACACTTACGTGCATGCCCTGAGAGGGCATGCACGTAAGTGTGTGTAGCGTATGTGTAACGAAAAGAAAGAATAATAGTGACATTAACACTACAATATTTATTTCAAGCAGTTGATCATCCAAGAGGAGGAGCCAGGAGTTCCATAGCATAGGGCTCCTAGTTTGAACTCCCTTCTCCGACAAATTTTTATACCCTTTTGTTTATTAAAAAAAAAGATGATTGTAATAGATAAATTATGCAATGTACTATTTGTGGGAGAAATCAATAAAGATTATTATTATAGAACTACTGATAGATGAACACAATGAGTTGACGGGTGGGGCTCTCATTTTCAGCCTAGCTGTATAAAAAGGTTAAAAGTAAGATGTAAGCGAACAACATACAAAGAAGTCCTTATAGTGTGCACAGGCATTATGCGATTTATTTCTTCCCTTCACTTTCCATCATCAGACGATCGATGTTGTCGATATTTCATACATTCATAACAAACAGTACACTTTGTCTTTGATTATGCATACAGCAAAGGAGATTATTTATACTTTAAGGACCATATACAGGGTTATTTTGCAATAATCGGCCAAATTTGCAAAAAAGGTTCGTAATCGTCGTATAGTGGCGATTAAGAATATCCACTACCCCATATCTTCCCGTGGGTGTCGTAAAAGACGACAAAGGGAAACAGGCAGGAGATGGGCAGCAGCATCTTCCTGATAACAACAAACATACAATAAAAAAACTGCGGTTGCCAACCCGCTCGCCAAGCGTGGCAACTATAGCAAATACCCCCCTATGACGAGAGTAACAAAGAAACGGCCCCCAGTCCCCGGCGGCCCCGCTATTCCTGGCTACGGTGGCGACCATGGTAACGGCGGGGCAGGGGGTGCTAATAATCTCCGGTGGAGGTTCGGTTGCCACCTAAGACGACTCGACCTGGCAACATACAACGCACGCACCCTGAGGACTGACGAGAAGATCGTGGAGCTGGAAGAAGAGATGGACAAGTTACGCAGGCATATTATAGCATTATCCAAGTCCGAAGAGAGGGGGAGGACACGGTAATCCTCGAATCCGGCAACTTGCTCTATCACCGGTGGGGCGACCATCTGTTCCAAGGAGGTGTCGGATTTATCGTCCACAAGTCTCTCGTTAACAACGCTGTAAAGATTGAGAGTGTGTCGACGAGGGTTGCGTACATTATACTCAGAATCACCAAACGGTATTCGCTGAAGGTCATACAGGTTTACGCACCAACCTCGGCACACCTCAATGAGGAGGTGGAGGAAATGTATGAAGATATCTCTAGAGCCATGCATTCCTCCAAAACCCAATATACGATGTTAATGGGAGACTTCAATGCAAAACTAGACACAAGAGAGAACGGTGAGCTGAAAGTAGGGAAATTTGGAATAGGTCAAGGGAACCCAAGGGACCAGCAGCTGGCCGACTTCATGGAAAAGGAGGGACTCTTTATGATGAACTCTTTCTTCTATAAGCGGCCCCACAGGAAGTGGACCTGGTCGAGCTCCGACGGTTCCACAAAAAATTAGATTGACTTCATTATGACGACCAGAAGACAACTATTCAGTGATGTCTCCGTGATCGCGAGGGTGAAAACTGGTAGCGATCACCGAATGGTTAGAGGCACAATGAACCTAAACGTTAAGTTGGAGAGGTCTCGTCTAATGAAGTCAACGCTCCGTCCCCCTCGTGCTCTGTTCCAGAGTCTCGAAACCTTTCAGCTCGAGTTACAAAACCGTTTTCAGTGCCTAGAAGACTGCAATGAAGTGGACGATATGAATGACAAGCTCGTGGAAACTGTTCCATGCGGTCGGAGCTAAGTTCTGCAAGACCCACCGCAGAAGAACACAAAAACTCTCCGATCACTCTCAATCTTATGGCTGTTAGACGGGAGATGAAGCTACATTCTTCAACAGATTTGACAGCATACAGGCAACTAAACAGACAGATCTCCAAATGCATGCGGCGGGACTTACGCAACTTCAATACAGCTTGTATTGAAGAAGCGATCGAGCGGAACCAAGGCTCCAAAGTCTTTGCCAGAGATCTGTTTGCCAGAAAGAGCCAACTGTCATAGCTGAAGACCGAGTGTGGAAGCATCGTTTCCGAGACACCTGAGATTTTGAGTGAGATTGAGAGGTTCTATGGGCAGCTGTACACGTCATTGTTGGAGCCACACGCAAGTGTGAGTAACGATCCAAGAGCGAGTCTTATCCGACACTATTTCGAAGATATCCCGGACGTCAGTCTGAGCGAGATTAGAATTGCTCTCCAGCACCTTAAAAACGGCAAGGCCCCAGGCGAGGATGGAATTACAGCGGAGCTTCTGAAAGCAGGTGGAAGACCGGTACTTGAAGTCCTTCAGAAGTTCTTTAATTCCGTCCTTCATGGTGGCACTACGCCGGAGGCGTGGAGCAGAAGTGCGGTGATCTTAATCTTCAAGAAAGGTGACAACGCTCTCTTCAAGAACTACAGACCGATATCCGTTCTGAGCCGCGTCTACGTGCTGTTTTCGAGAGTCATTACGCATCGTCTCGCACGCACACTTGACGACTTTCAGCCTCCCGAACAAGCTGGTTTCCGAAAAGGCTTTAGTACCATGGACCACATACACACCCTTCGGCAAATTGTACAGAAGACAGAAGAGTACAATTTGCCACTGTGTCTTGCGTATGTGGACTATGAGAAAGCCTTTAATTACCTCGAAATTTGGGCGGTGCTGCAGTCCCTTCAGTGGTGCCAAGTTGACTGTCGGTATATCGAACTGCTGAAGTGTTTGTACTGTAGGGCTACGATGGCTATCCGAGTACAGAATCAGAGTACGAAACCTATCCAACTGCAGAGACGTGTAAGACAGGGTGACGTTATATCCACGAAACTCTTTACCGCTGCATTGGAAGACGTTTTCAAGCTACTGGACTAGAAGGGGTACGGTATTAACATCAATGACAAGTACATCACCCACCTTCGATTTGCTGACGATATAATCCTTATGGCGGAATCGCTGGAGGACCTAAGCACTATGCTCAATGACCTTAATAGAGTCTCCCAACGGATAGGTCTTTAGATGAACATGGATAAAACAAAGGTTATGTTTAATGTCCATGTCACACCTACGCCGGTAGTTTTTGGGAGCACTAAGCTCGAAGTTGTTGACGAGTATGTTTATCTGGGACAAATAGTCTGACGAAGTAAGTCCAACTTCGACCGAGAGGTCAATCGACGGATTCAACTCGGCTGGGCAGCATTCGGGAAACTACGACACATCTTCTCGTCAGACATACCTCAAAACCTTCAAACGAAATTGTACAACCAGTGCGTGTTGCCAGTGATGACTTAAGGATCTGAGACGTGGTCCTTCACTGCTGGCCGTATGAGGAAGCTCAAGATCGCTCAGCGAGCTATGGAGAGGGCTATGCTCGGAGTTTCTCTGCGTGATAAACTTAGAAATGAGTATATCCGCAGTAGAACCAGAGTAACCGACATAGCCCAACGGATTAGTAAGCTGAAGTGGCAGTGGGCCGGCCATATAGCTCGAAGAACCGACAATAGATGAGGAAGAAAGGTTCTTTAGTGGCAGCCTCGTACCAGTAGGCGAAGTATAGGGCGACCCCCCACGAGATGGAGTGACGACCTGGTAAGACATGCAGGAAGTCGATGGATGCAGGTGGCTCAGGACCGTGATTTGTGGCATTCTTTGGGGGAGGCCTATGTTCAGCAGTGGACTTATGAAAGGCTGTAATGATGATGATGATACTTACTTACTTATCTTCACGCACAATCGCTGACGGGGTAGCCAGAGAGAACAGATCGCCAAGTGTCACGATCCTTACATACCTCTTTCGCTTCTTTCAGATTCATTATCTTCTTCATACCTGCACGTCTAGGTATCCGAGTACTCTTGACCCTACCCTCTTCGAGCAATTTGCTCACATGGTCTTCAAAAGTTAGTCTCGGTCTACCTCGACACCTTTTAATATTAACTTTCGTGCTATATATTTTCTTCACCATTCGATGATGATGATGATGTATAAAAGGGTTAAAAGTAAGATGTAAGCGAACAACATACAAAGAAGTCCTTATAGTGTGCACAGGCATTATGCGATTTATTTCTTCCCTTCACTTTCCATCATCAGACGATCGATGTTGTCGATATTTCATACATTCATAACAAACAGTGCACTTTGTCTTTGATTATGTATACAGCAAAGGAGATTATTTATACTTTAGGAACCATATACAGGATTATTTTGCTATAATTGGCCAAATATGCAAAAAAGGTTCAGAATAAGTAATATAGGCAAATGGTAAAGAAAAATTAATTTAAAAAAATCTCAAACCATTCTTCTGTCCTTTATATCTTTTAAATTTAAAATGCGTGGTAATGCATTATTTTAACTGATTTACTGTGCACGCACACATTCATAAGGGTCGATCGGTAGGCAAAAACGTTATTGCCCGTAAATCCTGATCAATTTTGGATAATTTCAAATAAAAGTAGAAAGCCTTATTTACTCGTATTCTCAAAAACTGCAATAATGGTATATCATTATTAATATATTTGACCTTAAGTTTAAAATTTGGCTACTCTTTGAAAAATAGCCCTATATATCTCTTTTTTTTTTTCTGCTCTTATCCCAAGTAATTTGGGGTTGGCATAGCATAATCCTCTTCCATACTTTTCAATTAGCCATCATCTCTTTACTCACTCTATTACTCTCTGTCCATCATCTTTTTTTAGGCCTCCCTCTACTCTTATCTCCATCCACATTCATTACCAACATTCTTCTCCTTACGTGGTTTACTTCCCTTCGCATAATATGCCCATACCATACTATTCTACCACTTTTCAACTTTGCGTAACTGTGGCCACTTTCACACTAACTGTGATAAATTTTATAGATAATACATGTTTTTGTCTGTACACTGCTGTATTTTAGTTTGTAAATACTTTAATCACAGGCAATGAAGGATTTCATTTTAGTCTTCACAATGTAACAAAGCTACAGCAGTGACAACACTGCTGTAGCTTTGTTAAATTTTATTTAGAAACATCTTTTTCAGATCTAACTCAACAACTTTATCATTCAACATGGTACAATAATTGAAATATTATACATTTAACAGTTGTTTATATAGAGCAATAGCAGTTATAGCTTATAGCATACAGATGATAGCTACCAATTATATGTGACATAGAAATAAAAAAGTTACATAAGAGTGTAACTTTATATGTGGTATAGCCATGCTGCAGCTATATTTCTGGTATAGTTGTAACACGAATGGGTCGGCTCGACCAGGGAAGGACCAGGCTCTCACATAATACCAGCGTAAAATAGCAGCTTAATGCTGCTGTTTCGTATGGTGAGTGTAGAGAACCGGAGACCCTTTTTACTGGAAACGAGGCATTCCATCTTAGTCCTCATGGGTGACAACGCATATGCATTTTGATTCGTAATCGAGGATAAATGTAGATGTCTATGGGCCACAGCAACCCCTTACCATCAGGTGGACTGTGTGCTTGTTGTGCTTATTCTATAAAAAAAATCCCATTTATATTACCCTCCAATATAATAATAGATAATTTTTTTACTCTCATAATTTAAGATAACAAAGGTAATGAATAGACTATCTGTCTGGCGTATGTACTAGGCAGTAGCCTATGATCCGTATCACTAGGATCAACAGGTGTGTGTGTTTGTGAGAGAGAGAGAGAGAGAGAGAGCGAGTCTGTGTGTGAGTGTGTATGTATGTATGATCTATCCAGTATTAAAGCTATATATAAAATAAAGTATACAATACTGTCTAATATAATGTAAAATGTATACACTGATCTTTAAGCATTACAAATCTTTAAAAGGTTTTCAAAGTACTTAAAGAGGGAAGTTTAATAAATTTATTAATAGTCAAAATTTGTAAAAATGAAAATAACTTACAAATAGAGGTGCAACGTAAGAATTCACCGGTTTTGGCTTGTCTGATGACTCCATAATGCTAACAAAATAGGTTAATATCACCACTTTAAAAATAATAAAATAAGTTATCTTATTTCAAATAACCTCTTACATAATAAATTGTCCATTTTATCAGTCACTAAATTGAAAAAGTTAATAATGAAAACCGCAAACTTAACTCATTTATTATTATAACTTATACATAAATATTCCATTTCATTAGAAATTAATTAAATTTAAAACTTAATTCAGCTTCTGAACTGTTATGACATTTTTAAGCAGTGTGACCATCTTTAAAATACAGATCCTTCCATACTTTGCTTAAAAACCTGCCAAATCCTGCTAAAATCTGTAGTAAAAAATGCCTAAATACTGCCAATTTTATTTCCCATTGTAGTAAACTAAGAAAAGTCAAAATACACATATACCTAAATGCTATATTTTTTTAAATTAAAATTAAACATATCTTTCGTTGGTTCGAATACAATGCATCTTCATGCTCACCAATACCTTGTTAAACGTACAAGATAGACGCTAAATTTTTGTTTATAAATCTGTTTCGTGTTTTTGTCTTAATTAAATTTATTTGAGAGAATATTCTTTCGCATGTTGAAAACCACTCATATGTTTTTGATATTTACCAGTAGCGGCATGCTCCTTTAAGCGCACACATGGGGTGCCAGTTTCCAGTTACACAGTCTGGATCATCTTTAGTTTTGGAGATCCATGATGAAAATAAAAGATCTTGCTTCCACTTCGCTCTATATGCCCTTTCATATTTTCGCTTCATCACCGCCACCTATAATTACTATCGTCCACGAAATAATATTTACAAGATGTTATCATCATGAAATCTTATTCTATACCAAACTAAAGTACATCTCTTTTATGACTAATTTAAATATTAACCAACTCGTGTTAAGATTATCAACTTTATACACACTTTTTTTAAAGTTATTTATTGAATGTGATACAAACATAATACGAGAGATCGAGAAATACAGGGAAATCCCCAACATGCTGGCGAAGTATCTAGGGTTGCCATTTTCGTCATTTTCAGTTGCCATAATGAAATATATTTTTAATACCCCAATCCTGCCAAATACTGCCAGGTTTTATAAAACGTTAACCGATCATGCCACAGGCTAAAATAAGAGGCCAATCCTGACAAAATGGCAGGAACGTGCCACATATGGTCACAATGTTTTAAAGCCTTTTTTTATAACTAGCTTTACGCCTCTGGGTTCTGGCCCTTCTGAGCCTGAAGTTACAATGTATAATTATCCTTCATAGTACACTGCTTCACAATATGTTGATGCGTCACAATGTGCAGACCTTGGGAAATTTTTACGGCAACTTGAGCCAACAGACAGCTGACAGTTGGCGATGGTATCTCAAGGCGCTTAAGCAAACAGGCACCTAATCTTGAGAATCACATCACCATCGAAGCACTTGTCTCACCGTTTCCACTAATAGTTCACATGCGCAGACACTTAATACCCACCGTTCAAGTTCCCGCCAAAACTCCTTTCAAGCCTTTAAGGCCTTAACAGTGGTTGAAATGCCTAAATCTAGGATATTTAAGTAAAAAAATCTCAATAACTGTTCATTTAATCCACAAAGAAAAAATACAAGGTAACAGAAGAAGATTTTGTAAACGTTTTTAATTTAACAAAATTGTATTTTTTTCAACCCCTTATTAGAAAAAAAATCCCCAAAGAGTACCTATCTTTGTCATATTTTGCAAAATTTCTCCAAAACGGCACAAGCTTTTTAAATAGTTCTTACACTAAAAAAAAGGTCTTAAAAATATTAATATTTTTAATTGAGAGTTTTATTTTTATTACCCGTTTTATAAGAGAATATATCCTTTTTCCCTGAAATTGAATATATTTACGCGAGCGCGCATGCTCCGTCGCCATGTAAGCTCTGTCACAGTGATTATATTCTCTTTGCTGTCACAGTCCGTTTTCGGACATAGTTGAGGGTGGACCGCACGTCGGTGTTGGAGCGACTTCGTTCAAATATATATTAGTTTTTTAAAAGTTTATACTCAATTATAAATATTTTTATGACTAGAAATACTTAATCTAGTTAATATCTGTACACTGGTAACTGTAAATATTATTTTCTAAATAAATGAATTTTTAAAGTGCCCAAAGAAGAAGAAATTTTTGCGGCGACGTTGATTAGTGAAATTGAAAAATGCATTTTTATATAATTTAGATGTGGAACGACGAACATGCTCTCGTTACTTAGATTTCGATCGTTTTTAATACCTATGTAATTTTATTGTTGCATATTTTTATTAATAAGTTGAAAGTGAATTTTATAATTATGTATTACAATAAATATAATAAATATAAATATAAGTATGACTTTATAAAATATTATTGGGGAGAGAAATAAAGATATAGTATAGAGATAGATATAAGTATCTGTAATACTTACATTTAGGTACACTGTTATCAAATTAAATCAAATAATTTAAATAAATAAAAGAATGGTGCTTACCTAAGTATGAATAACTATATAAAGACATTCTTGGGTTTATGGTTTTTTTTTTATGTTAGACAAACTATCATCTAAAAAATGTAAAAATTTTAAATTGGAGAGGGGTTTCTCTACGTGATAAAGTTAGAAATGAAGGTATTTGCATTAGAATCAGAGTAACTGACATAGCTCAACGGAATATTACAGTGAAATGGCAATGGGCTAGCTATATAACTTGGAAAATATATAAAAAATAGGAAGAAAGGTCCTCGAGTGGCAACCTCGTACAGGTAAGCGAATTAGTACTCAACCTTTATTCCTCTTCACGTATTCTCATACGCTTTTCTTCACACACACACACACACACACACACACACACGAGCGCGCACACGCGCGCATGCACGCACGCGCGCACACACACACACACACACACGCACACACAAACAGGTCGCAAATAATACTTACCTAGTACTATTAGGCAAGAGTGAATAGGTTTTTGTTAAGTCAGTGCAATTCACCATCTTAGACTACATAATCACTAACCGATGGGATTGTAGTTGCTTTACTACTTGCTGGGTAAAAATAGTAAAAAAAAATGTACCCTGTGAAAGTTTGCATTTAGATATAATTTTTCTTACCAACCATAAATATATGATGAGAATATGTATATAAGTATAAAGGTTACCTCACACGGAACAGTAATAATATAATATTATATCTTCCATTATCTCTGAAATCCGAGGTATGTTCATATTAAGAGGCTGAATAGAGCCACATTGAAATGCATGGGGATCGTTTTGTAATTTCACGTCATTATCGAAAAAAAATTGTACGTATTTTAGGTGGCGGTTTGCAAAACACGATTCCACAAAAATTAACTCAATAGAAAACAATTGCAAAGTTGCTTCTAAAAATACTTCAATTTTCAACGTCAATTTTTTTTTACGTGGTAGAGTCATGCTACAGCTATATTTATTAGGTATAGTTGTAGCACGAATGGGTCGGCTCGACCGGGGAAGGGCCACGCTCTCACGGAATAACATGTAAAATAGCAGTTTAACCCTGCTGTGTTTCGTATGGTGAGTGTAGAGAACCGGAGAACCTTTGTACTGGAAACGAGGCATTACATCTTAGTCCTCACGGGTGACAACGCATCTACATTTTGATCCGTAATCGAGAATAGATGTAGATGTGTATGGGCCATAGCAACCACTTACCATCAGGTGGACTGTGTGCCCGTTTGTCACCCTTATTCTATTTAAAAAAAACTTTCTGAGATTTCAGTAAAATAATGTTAAGCACTCGTACAATTATGTCTCATGTTAATAAAGCTATTGGGCTATTTTGATTTGTAATAAAGTGATTTTACTTCATAGGTTAAATAATTTATTTACCTTTCTATTTCAAGAACCGTTTCTCTGTCACTCCTATTGAATTTGACAGTGCTTGCTGAAATTTAGCATCTTTAGATGGATCAGAATCGCCCGCTGATGCGGCTGTTAGATATTGCAAAAATAATCGAAAATATTTATTTTTACTTTCATGCCCAACACTACCTTGTTTTATTTTATTACGGTCAAATAATATTTATTAGGTTATAAAGCAAGTATTTTTGTAAATGTTTTGTATGTAAATGTAAATGTTTTCATTATTTTGTTATTCTATTCTGTAAACAATAGAATAACAAAATAATGAAAACATTATACGTTATTATCACGTCTTAGCTTTACACCAAGAATTCCATTAGAAATTCTTGATGGGATGCAATGTAACGCGCATACATTATTTTCATCAAGAACTATAATATATATATATATATAGAGTTTCAACAAAATCTTAAAAAAGTTCAATGAATTAAAAAACATGCTAATAATTATATAATTTCAAGTCAGTGTTTTACATTTAAAGATCAGTTATAAAGAGCCAATGTTATTATTTTCATTTTGATTAATTTAATTCGAGACTAAAATAAATGTGAAAGGGCTTTTATCTGCAATAATAATTTTCATCAAAAATAACATAGACTTATAAAAGTCATATACACGGTCAATCATACTGAAGATTATCATTTGTACTACAAAATATTTAAAAGACTATTTCCAGTATAATGACCCGAATATCACCATTAATGTTTGACTGGCACACTTAAAAGTTTTATCACATGGCTAAATGATTGACTTTTATATTATGATAAGGTCATGCTTTTCTATAAAAAATTGCAAGAAATTTTAATTCCCGGCCCTATTGGTTTGTTTTACTTTTTACTTAACTAGTGAAAAACAAAATGGACTGATCTAAAAGTTTACTTTCTTGTGTAAAAAGTGCTATTTAGAATTTTATGCAAATAGTAATTAAATTTTCTATGTAAATAAGTGTAACATAGCGGGTATTATATTCAATGGTAGCGGCCATCCGTATTGGCAAAGCCAGCACCATTTTCTGTACAGAAACCGGCAAAGTGTTGCTCAAGGCACTATAAACAAAGCAGCTGATAAAATGTTACACTCATAACTGTTAACAAAAACTGTTTTCGCAAATGGTCT